TTTGACCTAACTTAACGTGCGTGGCAATCAACTCCGCGAGGAGATGATGTTTTGCTGATTGCCACCCGTAGCTTAACCCTAACGTCTAACGGCTAACCGGGCTAACCTTCTAACTCTAATCTATCTTAAGAGCTAACCCCTTCACCTTACGGGTAACCGTTCACACTGGACACTTAGGGGCTCTGGCGATAGTGGCGCAACTCGATTACATTCGTGCGACGGGAAACCAACGCGGCTTGTTAAACGATTGGGCTACGGTAGTTCTATTTATAGTACTACCACCTATCCTCGCCGTCCAGAGACCTGGGCTCCAAGTCCGCCTCCTCATGTGTCAGCAGGTTCACGTACCGCTGCACCTCCTCACCTCTCCAGGTGCGGACCGACTGATTATCCCAAGCAAAGAATCCTTGGCTTGGGATTGGCGTACCAGTGACCGCCTCCCTGTAATCCCGTGAAACGGAATCCAGGGACAAGTCGGCCCGCCGGAACAACTCCGGCTCTGGCGTCATACGTGTCCTTAATCGGACAGGTATATTAGTTAACCGAAACTAACAAACCGAAAATACGGAAAAAATAGTGTTGGTAACACTAGAACTCACCTTTTAGGTTGGATTGCCCACCTGGCAGCCTGACGGCCCGGTCCCTGAGCAGCGATGCCCGGGTACCATTGGGTCGGCGGCAGTAAGTCCTGCGTCTGCACCAACCACGCCTTGTATCGCCACGTGCAGATCTGATGCAGCAACGTGTCTGGCATACGATGGCGGCATGCATTGGCGACTGAAAGTCGTCTATTAGTCTCGTCCAAGAAGTGAGAGCCACATTCACTCACGGGTGAACGCCTCAAGGCGTTTGTCCGGATCATACTTAGCTAGGAGGATGGATGGTGCCTCCAGCCAGAACGTACGTTTGCCGGTATAGCCCGCGCGCTCGGTTGCGGTGTCAAGCCGCGGCCTAAGCTTGCGCGTGCCAACGCCGGTATAAACGTTCTCGTCCCGGTGCATCCGGAGCGATCGAAGACGGATCTGCTCGACTCGAGCGAGTTGCAGACCCCGAGAATAGCCCCATGGCTTGGTTTGATCGAGTGAAGTGGTATTGTGATATTGGCGGTAGCGTGCCATGTCTGACTAAGTTATACCACCGTTCACCATTCGGCGTTCCTTTTATACGTCTGATGTTTACTTTGCTAGTAAATAGGGGGCCGTCCCGCGGCCCCCTGAGTTCGCTGTCTCTCATGATCGGGAAACGCGGAGGCGGCGTTCCGCCGCCCGCGCGCTCCGTCAGATTCCCACTGTTGACAGTTCCGTGCTCCGCGGGTAACGCCCGTTCGGTGCGTGACACTTCACATGTCACTTTTTGCGTTTGTTCCATTGTTTCGGTATTACCGTTAATCCGGTTCCTATGATCCTCGGATCTTCTCATGTCATGTTAAAGCCGGCGGCGTTCCTTCGGAACGCCGCCCGCGCGCTCCGCGCGCGGTCCGCCTTCGGCGGCTGTAGGTGACGCACCCCTGTGATCTTATCTCACATCTTATCTCTGCCCCTGTGCGTCCCATGAGAAGCCCCTATCTATGCGTCTGTTCCTGCGGAAGACTGGAATTGGCCTATCCTACGCGTCTCATTCGCTAGATAGATCCGGGAACTAATATACCCTTATCCTTCTATGTTTACTATCTAAACGATAGCAAACTTAGCTGCTAGACTCACATCTACAGCGTTACAGGTATAAAAACTACTATTCAGCCTGATGAGATGGCCAGTACCATCGAAAGCGTCCTCTGCTCACCAAAGCGAGGGCAAACTTGCTACCGAATAGTCTCCTCTCACAGCTTTCACATCTCCACACTCGCGCTTCGCGCTCGTGTGTCGACACCACCTAACCCTAACTAACTAACCTAACCATCGTCAACCCACTCACCTGGGGCAGCCGGAATCATCTTGATCACAATACCACCAGTGCTGGGCATGATCTGCGATTTATCGAGACTGGGACGTTATCTGTAACAGATGGTGGATGGGTTTGAGATGGGTGTTTGAAACGATGAAGGGTAGCAAGCCAGTGAGATTATATCGGACAAGATGGCGGTGGTTATTTGTACTGTGGCCAGCGGACATTGAAATACCTGACGTCTGATGTTGGGACGCGGTGTATTGCGGAGTGGTGCATGTCCACCAACCAAATCTGCCACAAGTAAAGTTCTTCTGCTCGTGCCATTCCACACACGGTCAACCATTGTCCACTGCCGGGTTTCTGCTCGTGCCATTCCACACACGGTCAACCATTGTGCTACAGACCTACTGTGGTCTCCCGCCCGCAGGGGCACACATCGACTACCATTGTCCACTGCCGGGTTTCTGCTCGTGCCATTCCACACACGGTCAACCATTGTGCTACAGACCTACTGTGGTCTCCCGCCCGCAGGGGCACACATCGACTACCATTGTCCACTGCCGGGTTTTTTCTCATTCCATACCATTCTAATGTCTCAGCGCGTGCCATTCGCCAAACAGCAAATGATTTTCCGGTATATCACCTGTGGGCTCCTGCGCATCCTCGCATAAATCGCCCTCTAAGGTCCACTATGTGTGACGTCGCCATTCCGGAAATATTAATACTAAGTCCATTCCACTCTCCCTGTGCATGAAATGCTTGGGAGGGCGGAAGAATCTGGCAGGAAGTTGGCATATGAGTTGAACAATTTGAAAGGTGGTCTCACAGACACGGCTAGCTATGATTAATTACATAGTTATTCATATTCTGCTTCCTTGTTGAGGCTGCGATGGTACGCCTAACTGGTAACGATCGGCCCACAACGGGGGAGAAGGACGATCGGGAACCGAGATCGGATCTCGAACATTCGTCTCTGGTAGCTTGATAGGCTTCATGTTCAAAGATTTAGAGTCATTTTTACATCAGGGCTCGTGTCTAATCCGATAATTTTGGCTTTAACTGTACAAGAAGTGCATGCAAGTTACATTGACCAGACCCTGCTCACCCTTCCCAACCAACAACCCTACACACCCCAAAGCGCACCGTTATATCAAAGTACAGCGCTGTCAAGATCGACTGAATCGACGCCAATGACGTTGATAGCCTTAAGGGCAGGAAAAGCACCACTTTCGCAATATCTGATAAGAGGTTCTGGGTTTGGACCAGAAAAATGGGCGGTTCCACAATCCTCAATGGAAAGGCTTATAAGATTCGGGGCACGAATCTGTTTCAGCACACGGATGGCGAGCTCAACATCCCTATACCCAGAGCCATATCCCAGGCGAAGCTCTTCGAGGCGGGGAAGCAGTACGGCCTTGTGATTGATTGGCAATCCCGACAGGGAAAAGACCATCAGCACTAGTTTTCTAAGCCGGGGACAGGATGAAAGAATCGCTGAAAACTCGTCGCCAGTTGGACAGCAACCACGCCCATAAAATTGGGACAACTCCAAGACATGCAAGGATCGAAAGACGTTTGTGTGCATTTGGTGGGAGAATGATGGCCAGTTTATAGGAACCCCGTCGAGAGCCAGACGACGCAATCTGGGGAGTGGGGAAGACCGTGCACGGATATCTTGAGGGAATAGGGCATCCAATGACATTCCAGCAGCGACTAGCTGGGCGCGTGGTACTGACCGCCTCGGAAGGCGATCTAGAGGTTCAAAGGAGTGAAACTCCTTGAGCACCAGAACTTCCAGGCAAGTAGCACCTGTCGGAGTGGGTGTACTCAGCAGTTTAAAGGCGTGTGGGACGAGTCGGTCCCAACGTTGGCAAAAGATGGTGAGAGATCTCCATCTTTTGATCTCCTTGAGCAGCAACTCCATGATTCGGGGAATCATGGAGGCATATGCAATGCTAAATCCAGAAACGTCTGAGCGTGTGATGTAATGTCTAGAGACGGGTGTAGCTTACCTGGCTTCAATGCCCGCCGGGGCTCGTGCATCAATAAAAACAGTCACAGGACATTGCTGTGACCGCTCGATGAGGGTGACCAACTGGGATGGTTCCTTTTCGAGGTTCATATGCCGAAGGGTACATCCCAGATTGGACCACAGACTCGGAGAGGATAATGCTATATGTCTCCAGCGCTTATCCACTGATGCCAGGATACCTGGCATTTTCATACTGCTCCGACTGAATGGCCGGAGGCTTTCTTTCGTGCTGCGAGTGCCAAGTGCTGCAAGCTTGAATATATGTATAGCCACATCATACGGGAGACGGTTGAAATAGCATGGGCCATGATCGACCTTGGAGTCTGAAGACATTGTAGATGTTAATGTTCAGCGTAAGACGAGGGTAAACTGAAAGAGCGTGAACATCCACCGAGGCTCATCAAATTATGTTTCAAACATGTGGAACAAGGCTGCAATTGAGAGACTGTGACCTCACCACAAAGCGTCCACGGTGGTCGTTGCCGTTCATCAACGGCACACGGGATTCCTTGTAAGATAATACGTTGAAGTTTGTATAAACATACGCCATCTGGACAGTGGACGGTGATGCGCCTAATGTCTGATGTAGGACGCGGTTTATCATGTAGTGTAAAGTAGCCCCTGACTCGTCGACAATCTGGCCACAGGGAAAGCCCCTCCGCTTGTGCGATTCCACAAATAGAACACCATTGTGCTGCAGACCTACTGTCTTCTCCTAAATTACCATTTATTCTATTAATTGGTGTAACAATACTTCAATATCATCTACATTCTTATATCAAATGTTCTCAGGTGGATTAATTATCTTTATTGTAACTTTAGTTCCTTTTGCTTTATTCTTAGCTATTACTGGTTTAGAATTAGCTGTATCATTCATACAAGCTTGTCCTTCCACATTCCTCGCCCTTCCAGAGCTATTACTCAGTGCGTGCTATTTGCCATACGGCAAGTGGTTTTCCAGTATATCAATCGTGGGCTCCCGCTCATTATCACACAAATTGCCCTCCAAGGCCCGCTACGTATGATGTTGGCATTCATGACTCAATATGAATACTACGTCCATTCCCCGCTTCAGGCGGACATTTCTGTCATTGTCTGTGCCAAAGCCACAGCAAACTCACACAAACTCGCTGATTAGGTTAGCCTGGGTACGTTACTTTGCTTGCTAATTGATGGAATAAAGACAGATAGAATGATGAGATTGGAAGAGAGTGACGAAGAGGAGCGAATGTTGATGTTGCCCAAGGCTTCAGACAACTCGGTGGGACGATGGGAACAGTCTCGATCACGATCCGAGGGTATAGTGGAAGGACAATGATGGTAGGGTATTTGTAAATGATGTAGCACGTGGCAGTCGTAAGGGAGACATATGCTATGATGTATAGTAACTACCAGTTCAAGGAATGCAGTTGCACCTCATCCACCTCTTTCCCCGCGTCGCGGCACAAATAGATCACAGACCACACCTGGGAATAATGCTTGTCTTGTGTGCGGTAGGGTTGGAAAGCGTCTTGACACGATGCCATGATTTGTTCCGCGATATCTGCAATGCTATCCATCCTCCGGTTCACAGTCCGCTTCCGTTCGGAGATGCTGTCATCCCAGTTTGCGCACTCAGCCTTCACCTTCTGCACTTCCTTAGCCAGTGCATCCGCAAGGAGTGTCACCCGCCGGACCATTTGCAACGTCGCCATTGAGTCGTCCATCTCCTGCTCGATTTCATCCAGGCGTTCTACCAGCCTTTGTTCCCTGGAATACTCGTCTTCTTCACCAGCGTCGTGGTCATGGGCAGGCTGCCGGCGGACGACCCGCTTTGGAATGCGCAACATGGCAAACGCTGCATAAACCATTGCTTGAATGCCATTCCGTGCTATCTTCATCCGCCTCCTGACGCGCATGTTGACGTCCCTCGTAAGCTCGTCACCTTCATCGTCAGAGTCCAGGCAATCGTCAGCTCGGTCGTATTGTTCCTGGATCATGTCCTCCAGGACTGATACAAAAGGTGATATTGGAGCAACTGTGAAGATTAGGTGAGTAAGTAACGATCCAACTTCATCGCATGGATTACCGACAGTGGTGAAGGACTTGCCTTTGTTGTTGAGCTCAATGGCACCCGTGAATTTCGTCGGGCCCTCAGATATTCCAGCCATACTCGACATGAGTGGTGTTCGCGAGTTGGTGATGTGAATGGATATATATTTGATGGGGTTGGAGAGAATGTTGGATATTGTGTCGCCTTTTCAGGGCCTTGAATTTATAGTCGATGAAAGATGCCCACGAGTGGGCGATCATGAGTGGACCTTAGTTGTATAGTCACGGATTGAACGCCCACAGTCATGATGTTGATGCTTACCAATCGTGTCTTCAGATTTCCAACAAGTCCGTCCGGTGCCTGCGCGACCATCCTATCCATATGCGGACGGCCGAACGATTAGTTAGGTCAGTCTACTTCCGTTCGGAGATGCTGTCGTCCCAGGTTGCGCACTCATTCTTGACCCTCTCCACCAGTGCCTTTGCAAGGAGTATCACCCGCCAGACCGTTTTCAACATCGCCATTGAGTCGTCCATCTCCTGGTCGATTGCATCCATGTGCGACTTTAGCGTTGGTATGGTGCGATGTTTTGAGTTTCGAAGCATGACGAGGCAGAAGACGTGGAGTGAATGAATGATGAACTAAGACGCAACATACCGACAGACTGACGAGACGAGCGGTGTAGGCCAAACATGTGTAGTTTCACGACACGTTGCATACGGCTGCATTACCCTCATGTACATTATGCGCGAATATGCAGGGCGAGTTTTAAATACTTCAGACATGTACCAACACTCCCATGGATGTAATCAAACTTCAGGTGAAGCGCATGCGTGGTTTCAAGACACATTGCACGTGCCTATTCCACGAGGCAGGCTCATCGATGGACGTGACAGCACCTCTCATGTTTTGTTGGACAAGGACGAACGGATCATCGGTGTCCTTGCTGGACAACCCAAGGATGATCGCTGGCACGATACGGTAGCTGCAGCCTGGAGGATGCAAGGGACCGTCGAGTCTTCACCGATGATGACATGAAGCACCGACGAGATGCCTATCCTTGCCTTACCGTCGGACTGTCATTTGGGGGCGGTCAACAGGTGATTGTGGACAAGAGATGCTGGGCTGGATGAGCCGCTAGCTCAACGATGCAGGTTCCAGGAAATCTTGTTCCAACACCAGGAGATCACTCTTGGAAAGGGCAGCCGGGTTTGGCATGGAACTTTTAAAACAGCGTGTTCCCTGCAGCAACATTCAACTTAGGTCCTACCGTGGTGACTTTGAATCACACGGATAACCTGAATTTCGCCAGCGGCATGTGTAGCATCACCGCTCTAGGCAACTATGACCCTACCAAGAGTGGACACTTGATTCTGTCTGACCTAGGGCTCATTGTCCAGTTTCCACCTGGATCCACCATCATCATACCCTCAGCAATCCTATGTCATGGCAATGTGTCCATCTCATCAGGAGAAAAACACCAGTCCTGAACTATGGCGGGCAGCCATGCATAGGCGTCAGACTAGGGTTGAGGAGGCGGCGGGATATTTCTCCAAAGCTCAAGACTTGTGTAAGGATCCAAGTCCTGAAATTTGATACATTATGGAATCACTTTAACTGCTCTCATCAACTTAATGCATGGCGCAGTACACCCTTCACAATAATTTGTTTCTAGTGCAATGGATTGAATTGAATTGTCCTGCCACAGGGCATGTACATGAGTGAGGATTACTGCATTGTCTTTAAAAGTTCAAGGCAGCCAGGGCAATGGCGCACAGAAAAGTCAGAGCCCAATGATTCCTGCTTCACACCGTAGTACCTGGCTAGGCCCAGCGGAAGTTCTGCAAAGGAGTGAGATGATTCTATGACAATTCTGTGCCTGCCACCGCCAGACCTTGCAGAGTACTCCAAAGCTCTCCACCTATTATTACGAGGCCTTGTCAGGTTGGAGGGAGGCGCCCTATAAAGCAAGAATGAGTCCCAGCAGCAACCCCTCCCAGGCAGTACAACCCAGGAATGCTCCACCCTGTAAAGGGCGGAGGGGGCGCCGCCCCGCCTAACATAACTCTGGAGTACACCGGATGCACCTGCCATGACAGGCAGGCGTATGTTAGACGGTTGGGACTGCAGACAAAGACAAAGAGCAAACCCCATTAGAAGCACAACAGACTTACTTGTGTCACAGAAGGCGGGGCGACAAGACTGACGTTGAAGTCCCAGCAACAACCCCTCCCAGGCAGTACAGCCCAGGAATGCTCCACCCTGTAAAGGGCGGAGGGGGCGCCGCCCCGCCTAACATAACTCTGGAGTACACCGGATGCACCTGCCATGACAGGCAGGCGTATGTTAGACGGTTGGGACTGCAGACAAAGAGCAAACCCCATTAGAAGCACAACAGACTTGCTTGTGTCACAGAAGGCGGGGCGACAAGACTGACGTTGAAGTCCCAGCAGCAACCCCTCCCAGGCAGTACAGCCCAGGAATGCTCCACCCTGTAAAGGGCGGAGGGGGCGCCGCCCCGCCTAACATAACTCTGGAGTACACCAGATGCACCTGCCATGACAGGCAGGCGTATGTTAGACGGTTGGGACTGCAGACAAAGACAAAGAGCAAACCCCGTTAGAAGCACAACAGACTTACTTGTGTCACAGAAGGCGGGGCGACAAGACTGACGTTGAAGTCCCAGCAACAACCCCTCCCAGGCAGTACAGCCCAGGAATACTCCACCCTGTAAAGGGTAGAGGGGGCGCCGCCCCGCCTAACATAACTTTGGAGTACACCAGATGCACCTGCCATGACAGGCAGGCGTATGTTAGACGGTTGGGACTGCAGACAAGGACCGAACCACATTAGAAGCAGAGCGACAACGACTTACTTTTTCAAGCGTATTATAGGCGGGTGGCGCACGTAATGTGGACGGATGCAGAAACAAAGAAACAAAGGAAGGAAGGATGTAGAAAGAAAGAAGGGAAGAAAGAGAGAGACGAAGAAAAAACAACCACGACCAAACAAAGGCGAAGAAAACCATGACCAAACAAGGCAAATAAACAAATAAACAAAACTCGATCACGTGACATATCAATCACCATTGATGATCGGTTGGTGTGCGCATTATTTATGGGGAAATCGTTCTTTCCTACCGGGAGTTTTGAGGTCCGATGTAATTTGTCACGTCTAGTCCAATAAGTATCACTACATAAAAATGAGATGCAAAGAAATTCGCGTCCACTAAGACGAATAATGGTCGATCCGAACACTTGTATTCTTACCAAGGGTTGTGGTAATGCCGCATCGGGTATATAACAAAACACAGCCATTTACACCATCCTTCTTTCTTTCCTTCCGTGATTCCATTTTTCCACATCGTGACTCCTAAGAAAGTCAGAAAATCTACAGCAGGTGGCCACTTGCGCAGGCATTTCACGCTTTAAGCTCGACTACCAGACCACTACTTATGCAGTCTGTCCAGCGTACAATTGCACTTACAAACTGACGGCCGACCCCAACTCAAGTCACCTGTGATACCCCACGAATTGCTTCAACAGACCCATAACAGAGAATGGTCCTTGCGACGAACCGTTGCTGCAGCGCTCCGCTGACGGGCAATTCGAGCCAATAAAAACCTTCATTTATCACCACTTGCACGACTACCTTGCCGGATTGCTGTGTCGTCCCGACCTAGAGGCCTTGATGGACAAGCCTTGTGATGAATTACTAGCGTCCATCGGGAGTACGCCACATATTGTCAAGGATGTCTGGGACGCGAGTTTCTTTCGCACCTTCTGGGGTCCGTCCGGCCAGTCTCGATTTATCGACAAGCGATGAAGGCCGATACGCTTTCACGCTCGACGTTGAAGGGCAATCGTCAGCGAAATACATCAACATCTACCGGCATCATCTCATGCGCATGTTTGAACCTCCCCCTTAATATCCGGTACAAGCACGAGAACATGTACTTAGCTGGCATCATTCCTGGGCCTTCAGAACCTTCGGGAGACGAGTTAAATTTCTTCCTTGATCCCGTGGTTGATGATATGGTTGAAAGTTGGGAGCGTGGGATACGTTATTCCCGCACAGCTCTCAACGATCGTGGTCGAGTGACACGCAGCGTTATAGCTTGTCTAGTATGCGACCTCCCGGCGGCGAGAAAGGTCGCTCAGCTAGCGGATTCAACAATCCATTTTTATTGCACTGCCTGCAATTGCTGGCATAGGTCGACTTGTGGTCAAACAGATATTCAATCTGAAGATTGGAGACTTCGGGACAAGGACGAAGTGTGCCGCTATGCTGAGCTCTCGAAGAATATCGGAACTTCGGCTGAGCGCAACAAGTTGTTCGCATCACACGGGGTGCGGTGTTCGACACTCTGGAAGTTATCATACTGGGATCCCTCTCGTCAAATCGTCGTCGACGCTATGCATTGTCTACTGGAGGGTCTCGCGCACGCTCATTTCCGTGGATTTTTAGGCCTCACAGCTGACTCCGCACATCGCAAGCCTGATATTATCCCTGCTTTTGCTTGTCCCTTCCTCGACGTTGACCTCAACAAACCTCAAGACTTCCAATAAAAAGACGTCAGTTGTCAAATCAATCCAGAGCCTCCTTACTGAAGCGGTGAGGTTCCAACCTTGAGGGGAATGACACGCAGCTTATCGAGGATCACCTCCTACAGATAGAGAAGAAACGAAACTGTTGAACAAGACGGTCGCATCCCTTCTGTTCGTGCCGGTAGGATTGGGCATCGCGCCCGACGTCCCACACCCTGGCAAAAAAGTCCTCAAACCCCATTGGGTTAAATCGCTTATTGGTTGGGTAGGTATTTTATTTATTGGTGTTATTGTACCCTCTTAAGCCGCCTCTGTGTAGCGTCGAACCCAACCTTTCGCTTCTGGGCTGTCCAAATTGCGCATTGGTACCCCCAGAAGTCATGCGACGTATTACTGATGTCATTAGGATGACAGATACGCCATCCTCATTAAGATCAGTCTCCTATAACTTCTACTTCGGAAAAACAAAAGCTGGGACCGTGAAGGCCGATGAATGGCGCACCTTAACGACAGCATACTTACCCATAGCTCTGGTTAGCTTACGGGGTGAGGGATCTACTCATCGCACCTCGGAAATCGCAGCCAGTCGTCGTGCCATCCGTGATCATACGATGACCCTTGTATCTGCCGTCCACATTGTATGTCAACGATCTATGACGACCGCGCGAGCAGAAGCATACCGTGGATACATTGTCGACTGGATGAGGGACTTGCAGGTATTACTTCCACATGCACCCCATCGTACGAATGGCCGCATGGCGTTACATGTCTGGGACTACCTGCAGCTCTTCGGTCCCATAAGGTCATGGTGGTGCTTCCCATATGAGCGTCTCATCGGGCAGCTGCAGCAGTTGCCCAGCAATCACATTTTCGGTACGATTCCGTGTCAATAGTGGTCTTCTTACGCAGGTCAGCAAGAATCAACTCTTTTCCTCTCATACATCAAGGCAGCAAAGTTCAAATGCTGGCTGAACGGACCTTCTTGTCCTCCCATGTTTAGGGAGGTGAAGTCTCTATTTGATAGATCTGTGTCTCCCTCCATTGACGCCAATCCTATTTCTGTGTCCAAAGATCACCCACCTACACCACAACAAGTTATTCCAGAGGACCTCCACCGACTCATCCAAGTTCGGCGGGCAGTCTTGCATGCTCGCACACTCCACAAGGGATCCATCTATACCCGTGACTCCACCCATGTGGGCAACAGCCTGATCCTCTATTATCCTGGCTGTATTAGGAACGTGCAACCGACACCGGGAATCATCAAGTATATTTTTGAGACGGAGCGAGTAGTGAGCTTCGCCGTGCGACGTCACCTCCCTCAGTTCCGCCACTATCCTCACTTCCCAGCTCGTTTATATTTCTCAGCGCTTGCTGACCATCTCGAAACTGTCGTGCCTGAGGCCTGCGTGGGTAGTGTCGCATTTCGCGCGATGGAACTTCTCTTCACAGCATATCGTTGCTGTGTCTTTGTGTAGGGTGTGTTCCTCCCCTTTTTTTCATATGTTATAACGGTCTCACAATGAATAGGACTGAATCATATCATTCGCTACAGCAGGCGGGAGGATCCGTGTACATAACTTAGATCATGACGTCACTCCTGATGAAGTTGATCCGGCGGAGAGTAGTTTCGGCAATATCCCGACTGAGTTTCATTCACTATTTAAGGCCAAAAGGATCTTTCTTTTCCTCTTTTCTGCTCGGTCATGATAGATAGTTTCACACCATGTATTAGACTACAAGATGGCGACGCTGATGCTTCACTCTCCTAAAAGTTAGGCTAATCGATTCTTGAACTTGTGTTCAAGGCTCTGTCACCAGGTCACCGATCCTTCCCACCGATATTCTATTCCACTTTGTAGTGGATCCGGGAAAATCCGGACAGAGACTCGTTCAGTATAAAAGGCTCCAAATGTAGTTTTTAGTGTTTTTTTCCCTCTTCCCTCTCGCCCTGTTCTCCGTATAATCACCACGGTCCGATTTTTGCCGTTAGTCATCACTTCATTACCTCATACATACCCGCCATACTTACCCCTATACATAGCCGCTATCTATACCCATCTCATCCATACGTTGTACATAGTAGTATTTATACCATGCACGTTGTTCCCGACCTTGCGGTGCTTGCTGACGGGTCCCAGGGCACCTGCACTGTAGAACCAGTGGCGCCTCATATTGGGCAAGGCTCCTATCTTGCTCCTGATGCCGTCGTCGACACACCCATCAAACGGGACAGTTCCACGATGCTGCCCTTCACGACTCTTACACGATGCCGGCTAGAAACTATTAACGCCATGGGTAAAGAGATGAAAGGTTATTTTGTGGGCCCGATGCCAATCGGGGAATTTCTCGAGGAGTTCCTCCCGACTTCTCAAATACCCGATTATGACCCTTCGTCCTTCACTTCAGCCCTCGCTGCTGGCGCATTTACCGATGTTCTCTCTGTTAAAAATGAGGAGAGTGCTTACATACCCTTCGTGAGTGTACCCCGCACATACGATAGTGAGATTATTGACAGCCTAACTCCAGATTAACGCCATCAAACCTTTCGCTCCTCAATTGTCGTTTGTCGACACTCATAATCATGCGGACACGCAGAACTGCTCGAAAATAAATTCAACAGTATTCAACGTCAAGCCGGACGTCTGCGTGTATCCTGGTGGATATGAACCTTCATCGCGCAACTGCGATATTTCCGCAACAGAAATCATCATCGAATTCAAATGGTCATACTCCCACGACGCATTCTGCGAACCTTCTGGAGCTGATAGCGTTGTATCCCAGACAGAGAAGGGTATGGACACGTTGGGACAAATAACGAGCTATACTGCAGCTCAGCTTGGCACCCAATTCCGTACCCACGCATTCTCTGTCCTGATCGTGCGTGATCGCGCTCGCATCATCAGATGGGATAGGGAGGGAGCTATCGTCACCAGCGCCATCAATTACAATAACGAGCCAGACTTGGCCGACTTCTTTCATCGTTACGCACGAGCATCACCTGAAATGCGTGGTGTCGATACTTCTGTAACGCTTGTTAGCGACAAGGAGGCTGACCTCGCAAGGTCACAGCTCAATATTCCCAGTACCACTCGCATGTTTAAAATCGAAGTCCCTAATGTCGAGGGCTCTGGCTCCCTCACATTGATCATTCCCCAACCCATTACCAAACCTCATTCGCCTGTTGGCCGCTGGACACGCGCGTGTCCTGCATTTGACCTTGTCAACAAGAAGCTCGTAATGTTCAAGGACTCTTGGCGGGTATCGTTACCAGATGTCTTACCGGAAGGCGAGACTTACAAATTATTGAAGTCGCATAAGGTTTCCAATATCGCAAACTGCGTTGCATATCATGATGTTCCCCCGTCTATCCCTCAGCAGTCCACTCAAACCGCTAAGTTCGGACACGCTGAATGGGCAAGTTCGCATTTACTTCTCACTCCGCACACTCTTCACCGTCTGGTTCTCGATATTGTGGGCGAAAAATTGACTGACTTTGAGAGTTCTCGTCAATTTATTCTGTCTGTGCGTGATGCACTGATCGGTACGTATTTTTTCTCAACTTCAGATAACATATCTTATTCATGATCTACCGACGCAGCTCACAAGGACGCATTTGAACTTGCAAAGGTGTTACATCGAGACCTTAGTGTTGGAAATGTCGTCATCTACAAAGGGAAGGGCTACCTTATCGATTGGGACCTAGCAAAGCTAGTCAGCATTCAGGGTCCCCGACAAACAACACGCACAGTATATTCATTCCATGCGCAAACTTTATATCTTGTACTAATTTTGCTGTTACCAAGGGAACTTGGCAATTCATGTCTGCCTACCTCGTCGAGCATAGCTATGCCATACACACGGTCGAGGATGACCTCGAGTCCAGCTTTTATGTCGTTTTGTGGACGGCTCTTATGTACAAGGAGACCTACATGGACATCGTCCACCGGACAAAACTCATAACACAGGTCTTCGAAACCGACCCCGGATCATCCTCGAAAGCGCATTGGCTCATTGGGAGAACCAACCTTCCGCATGTGTTGTTTGTCGACTGCAAACCGCTCGACAATCTCATCCATACACTTGCCGGGTTCTTCTCGCATCGGTACACGCAGATCTCCGACCATCAGCGGGTGGTATTTGACAACTTCCAGCGCGCATTTGAGCAATCGATGACAGAAGTCTCTGTCGTGACAGAGAACATGTTGAAGGCTGCACGTGCGTTCATGGCGGACTCCCCTGTTTACCAGAAGGAGATGGGTATGAAGGCCCTGCACTCGCACGACGCTGTCATAGGCATTTTCAACGAGCACCTTGATTTATCCGGTTGGCCTGTCCAAGACGCTGCCGTGCTGCGAAAAACCCTGCAGGAGGAGAAGTACGGGCCAGCCCTATTGGTCACGAAGTCTCAGTCGCTATTCGCCTCAGGGGTAGAAGTCACCCCGTCTGGCAAGAGGCGTAGGCTAAATGCATTGGATGCGGACGCTGACGATGGTGATGCCCCCGGCTCAATAGCTAGCCTGGATGCCCTTGTGTCCCTTACTTAACCTCACATTGCGCTATTCGATTTCTTTTGGACAATTTAGTCAATGAGACCTGTAGTGTGTTCCTACTTGATGCAACAGCAGAATGATTGCCTGAATTTGGATGAGAGGAGTGCCCATGATAATTTTCCATCATCAATTTTTTTTTTCATTTTAACTTTGAGGACGATTTGAATTTTCCTCCAATGGGAACACGCCTGTTATTATATAATATTTTGCGGGACACATGTCCAGGCTTCAAAATTTTGTAATTACAAAGCACTTACCGAGTCGGCAAAGTTTATATTCGTACTAACATTTACATAAGCAGACAACTTAATGTATAGAATACATTTAGAAGGACCTAAAATTTGTATCGAAATGTGTTATTTTGCTCTGCCGATTTGCTGGCAGTCAAAATTTGTTATAGTTCCTGTGTCAAAATTCCACGTGTAAATGGATAATTTGTGAATCACATTTTGATTCAAGTCTCGCCTGTGGAACCCCCCCCCCCCCCCCAAAAGAAACAAAAAAAATTGGCAGTCGCCTCTTTTGTTTAAGCAACAATGTGGGGAAAGGTTTTCCCCATGAAATGGGCGACCGATGTTCCTCCACATTTTTGGCAGTCGCCCCTTTTTGTGGAAGCAACAATGTGGAGAAAGGCTTTACCAGTGGACAAAACAGATCGCTAACTCACAAGGCCCGTTAAACCTCGCAACATTCAATGGCGTCTTTCATAAAAATTGATCCTCATGCTGAAGAAGTGTTAAGGTCGTGCTCATGGGTCGAATCTGAAGGGCTTGGCTTCAGCTCGTGCGTTGCGCTCCTTACCCCGAGTACGTGCCCTTAATTTACGGAGGGCGGGAGTGAAGTCCGATGAAGTCCGGAGATGTCCCGAGGTCAGACGCAGGAGGAGTTCGGCGGAACTCCGGAGGTTCAAGGGGAAACTAAACTCCAGACAGGAAGCAGACTGATGAACGTGGGAACCGGAATCCGGAGATATGGATATAGGTGGAACTGAGATATGAACAGAGATGGAAGACGTCCGGAAACCGGTGAAGGAGCGGAACTGGGAATGGTCCGGAGGTCCGGCAGGAGTTTGACAAGAAAGAGGGAGTACAGTCCATCAAGGAGATTCCGGACTGGAGGAGGTCTGAATCAGAAAGACAGACATGGGCAGCATGGCCTTCCTGCGGAAATCCGGACGGACGGAGAACTGATGTGCAGGGCTGTCCTGCTGAGGGGTGCAGATAAGGTGAGGTGTAGGCTAGCTACCTTCCGGAGTTCCGGAGATCGTGGTTAGGCGTATTACTGATAGTGATTTAGGGGTGTCGTAGCAAGCTTGCGGACATCGATCGTACATCCATCCTGCATCGCTGATCTGCGATAACAGAAGTTGCTTCGTGATCAAGCCATAATGCTCCTTGATTGCGACACATTTTTGTATGAACAGAGCCCAGATATTTGGGCTAAGTGGTCGAAAGGCAGCAATGATCCCACTGAATCGTTAGCTATAAGGATCACAGGTAAGTTCTCCAGTAAATTCACCTCTGGCATAGTCACGGTTCCGCTTTATCCAAGCTTTGATCGCCGAAAAGGCTTCTTCGATAGGGTTGAAGTCGGGGGAATAAGCTGGCAAATACACGAGGCGCATCCCCCTGAAGAAATATCAACGGCGCCACCCAGACAATGACGATAGAATAATGTACCTGTGCTGGATCGATACCCACTGCAGAATAACATTGTCCACATCCTGGTGGATCCACACAAGAACAATCGTGGGAAATAGTCACAACGGGACAGAATAAATGATGCGCCGGACTCGTCTTACCTTCCTCAACACTTTTAACCTTCCTTCTACCTTGAAATCCTTTAAGTCGTCTCACATTCTCGAGTTATAATGTTACTGCCAACTCTCAAGAGGTGCAGGTCTGACCAAGATGCATTCGACCGCCGCGTTAAACGTAGAAATGGCCCCGTAAGTAACGCTCGCCGTCTTTCATTCACAGGTACACAACTGATCTATCACCAACAGGCCACTGAAGTTAAGAAGGTCGAACACGCCGCCGACACTAATGCCTGGTTGAGGTTGTGCGACGACCCATGGGGTCTGAATCCTCGCGACGTTAAGAAGGTCGAACACGCCGCCGACACTAATGGGTGGCGGTTGAGCGACGACCCATGGGGTCTGAATCCTCGTGACGTTGAGAAGGTGGAAGATGCCGCCGACACTGATGCCTGGTCGGGGTTGAGCGACGACCCATGGGGCCTGAACGCTTGTGTCATTAAGAAGAGGGAGAAGGTCTCCACTAGGCTTGGTAAGTTATATCGCTTGGTCTGTAAAGATTATTTCTGACATTTTGTATATAACAGTTGTGCAAGGTCCCCCGACAAAAGATAGCTTTTGGAGGGCGGGGGAAATACCTCTTGTCGGTGGGAAAATGAAGAAGAAGAGAACCTTTGTAACGAAGGATGGTGGCAACACTCGCGTCAATATCACCAATAATATGCAGGAACTGGGCAGGCTTCGAGATCTGCAACGCGACAGGAAAAAGTATGATACACCTCAGGGTGTCATCATACTCTATTACGACGACGACGACGTCCACTCCGATGTCCACTCCGATGACGACGATCCATACTCAGATGAAGAGTTTTTCACCTGTCCTTATTAGGCACCTGTATCTGGGAGATTGGTGTATCACTACCTATAGTTGTCAGCGATTCGATGGTGTAATACATCAATGTATGATAGACCCATGTGTTCCCGGTTATGGGTACGGAGTGCGGATGTCGGGACCATTGTCCGGAATCGTTCAGTAACATAGTTTTGAATTCACCGAGCTGCGCATGTACGCAGTGGGATGCAATCGTTTTGTTCTAGCATTCATTAATAGGCCTGCCTGCCTCTGCTGCATGTGTGTGGTGGCCAGCCGCCCTAAGGGTGAATTCTAGTGTGGAGGGACAGCCTCCTTTTGCAGTCTGTATAAACAGGCTGACCAGTCATGCTCCTGACATCTTTGTAGGCCAGCCTGAGGCTTGAATACAGTCGGGAACAGGTCGCAATTGTCGAAAGCAAAGGTCATGTCCTAGGAACTATGGGACAATTGTAGGGCAAAGATAATTGGTACAGAGGCAAGATCCACCAAACTGCCTATATTGTGAAAGCTGGAAAGTCCTTCAAATTCAAGCTCTATAAACTGGAGATTCAGAGATCGCACCAATTCATTCGGTCTTTGGGGTCTCGACAGATCCTCCAAGTTCATGTCCCAGACAATCTGACATACCACAAAGTAGGCGCAGCAATTCAGGAGTTCTTAACGTCGAATAAATTCGTGCTGTGTGGCCACTGGCCTACTGAGCCAGATGTCAGCAGCACGCCGGCCGGCCCCTTTATATGGACTGCAAAAGGAGGCCGCCCCTAACCTTCATTGTGGTGTATGTGGCAGTTCTCAAGCACGAGCATGGACCTTTGCAGGGAATTGGTTCATGTATGAAAGCTAGTAACAAAGATGACAACCGAGTAGAAGAATGAGAAATATCGTGTGCCACTTTTGTTGCAATGAACTCGTAAGGTCTTTCGCTATCGCGCGCGCCCTCGATCACATGAGCTGCCATGTAGCCTTCTGTCAATATTTGAATAGAAAAATGCACCAGTTATAGGTCTAAGAATGGCGATTGCAGGGTCTTTTGGCAATGCTTCATTTGAAATGAGCGACATCAGCTGCAATACGCGATAACCCATGGCAGACTTCAGTACTAAAATGAACCGGTAATATTTATTCATGACATCGTCGCCAAGTCTGTCGGGATGCGTGCTATTTTTTCAACCTGAATATGTTTTATGTTGCTCTAGTACGTGTGCAATGCTTTGGTGGTAAATTTGTTGACCCTTGGTGTATGTACATATCTAGCGTTACTTCGCCACACTGTGGGCCTTTCCAAAGACTTGGCATCGTAATGTGAAAACGAACCACAGCCAAACAAAGCCACACATGGCGAACCCTACAATACCTGCTTCTCCTTTCGTTCCACAATCTCATTCATTGACCTTGTTTCGTTACGGCACGCACCAAACGGACAGCTAGGCGCTCCCCGACAACGGCTAAACGTCCCCTAAAGACCGCTCCTAGTAAAACATACAAGGCGAAGGGCACTGCCAGCATCAAGACACGTGCCATGGTTGTCATAAGGACCAAATCAAAGATCTCGGCGCCGAGATCACTTGCTCAGCCAATCACGTCATTTTCAATCCCGACAAATAGTGCAGAAATTGTCTTGGACGAGTACCTATCCAACGGCGGGATTGTGATTACCTACGGCATCCCGGAGAAGTTGCTAGCTACCAATCCGGAAGACCACCAACCCTACGACATGGCCAGGGTGCCCGTTTTTCAGGGTAAGAAGAGGCTAGGGTATGTCCCGCTGCCGATCAGGTACATGGGCCTGTGGCTGGAGCTGTGCTACTATATCGTGTTATATACCGAGGTTTGGAAACTTTGGAAGCGTGAGGCTGAAAGGGGGACGAAGAAGCAGAAAGACAAGGCTACAATTTGCAGACAGAACTGCGGGACGGTCCTCGTCACTCACATTCAGGCAAGACTTCTGGTGGTGGATCAATTGGTGGGTCTGCATTACCACATAAAGCCTGCAGCAGAGCGCGTCAAGATACTGGACGAATGGAAGGTCCGGTCCCTCCGCGACTGGTTGAACAAGGACTTCGCATTTGCCAAGGAAGAAGGACCAGAGTTCTTGCTAGCGGACCCCCTCAGTGCCGAGAACAAAGCATTTTTCGGTTAGTCCATCCTCTGTAGTGATATCCTTACACCACCTAAAGCGAATGCAGAGCAGGACTGGGTGATAGCCGAAGAGGGCCTCGATCTGCTGACGCCCCCGGTAGACACGCAGCAGTGGATCAAAGGTCTTCCCGAAAGCTTTAAAGAGACTTTTAACAAGATCATCAAGCCGCAGGCATATGGGGAATTGAAGAACCCCAGCAAATTCTTCGACACCTGGCATGAGGAAGGGGCGGCGTTACCAGAACGCTGGCATGAGGGGCATGAAACTCGCCCATACTTCTGGTCAAAGAAACAGTGGCATTGGATGGCCAAAGGTGACATCTTCATTTCTTTTTATTTCTTCTAACTACTGACTTTGGTTAATGTCGCAGGAAATAACTTTCGGAAGGACCCCTTTAGCTTTGTACATTTTGTCCTGTCGTCATCGCCAGCGTGTGAGGAATTCCATCACTTCTTGGCCGACTTGAATTCAATTTGCAACATCCTAATCTCGGAGCCTGACTGGGCGGAAGTGCAACAGGCGGCTAACGATCTGTGGATGGGGGAGATGACCTGGAGGGACTTTGTGGAGAAGTTCCAGAAGATGTGGGCGTTGGAAGGCAGTATCAGCGGTCCTTGGCAGAAAAAGGGTATATTTTTCTCGCCCTTCACCTCTCTCATACAAATCAATGATGTTTGGCTTCATTACAGACGACAAAAATCCTTTCAACACCTTCGAAGCTCGATTGCTCCTCGAGGGATACCTGCGGCGGGGTATGAAATGCTGGAAGACGATCAGGATTGGGAATGGGATCTTCACGACCAGATCCTGTGGCAAGGCCTGCGGAGAAGTAGCGATATGGAAGCATACGGTGTGGGCTGGGAATGGGTCGTGGACCAAGTTGTTTTGGCCAACACAACTGTCGAGGGCGTTTTAGACGATGCTGGCCCTTGGTGGATCGATTTCAAACACAAAAGTGAGTTTCAGGGCGCCAGTTCAATTGCTTCGTCATCTCATGCCCTCTCCCCAGGACACTGTGACCAAGCAGAGGGGCTCATGGATCGGGATATGGACGGCGAGGGATCGCCTTCTAGTAAGCAATCATAGCCTTATTGTAACCATTGATACAATTAATATTTTCAGGTCATTCCAGACAGGATGGTGGTAATAAGGCTACAATTGGAGGGGATGGTCGCACCAGGCACGGCACTCCTCCCCCTCCCCCCTCCTGCTCCTGCTCCTCCCCTTGCTCCTGCTCCTCCCCTTGCTCCTCCCCCTCCCCCTCCCCCTCCCCCTCCCCCTCCCCCTCCCCCTCCCCCTCCCCCTCCCCTCCCCCTCCCCCTCCCCCTCCCCCTCCCCCTCCCCCTCCCCCTCCCCCTCCCCCTCCCCCTTCCCCTTCCCCTTCCCCTTCCCCTCCCCACCCTCCGCTTGGCAATGCAGCTGCAGATCAGGCTCCCCATGCCCCCCCCCAACATGTCCCAGTTCCAGAGGGTGCCACTGCTGTGGCCGCTGTGGAAGGGGAGCATGCTGTTCAGGGTAACACGACGGGAGGCAGTGCTACTACTGGGGCTCTCGATTACGCTGGTCCCACGATGATTGTCGTCGATGGCTTGGGTAGGTATATTCGGGGACATGAGACCTTGGACGGGTATGGATTGTCCCTGAGGAAAGCCTACCCTGGCCCCGAGTATGAGTCCGCCATTGCAGGCTACCTGAAGGATGTCAGCACCATCTCCGTGGCGCAGCTGGAAGGCGGCGTCATCAACGAAGAATTCAAGGGGCCGGCCTTCCAACTGCCCCTCAAAGTGTTTGTTTCCCAGGTCAACACAATTGCAGCTAGGTTAATGGCTAATGAGTGGCAGAAGGGCCTCCTGTGATGGTGTACCTACTCTTTGTGCCCGCATTGAAACACCGTATTGCATGTATCTCGCATGTACGCAGTCTGTGTCACATTTGACAGTCGTCGTATGGAACTTGTATACAAATCATTCTTACAGGGTTAAATGTGACGAGGGTTCGAAAAAAAAACAGGCGAAAACCAAACTTTCTGGTGAAATACAGCCTATAGATATTTTTAAGTATCCCGATGGCTTGGAATTTGCCCTTGAATGTACTTTGTCGGGTGTAATGTGATGGTACTACACTACAACAAATGCTCAGCGCTCAGGCCCAGCAAGGAACGGTCCTAGCTGTGTGCACGGAAAACGACGGAAACATAAACAACCATGTTCATGTAGATATGAGGAAAACGATCTTATAGTAGATTTCTAGCTACTAACATTGAGCTAGATGTCGTAGCATCGAGTATATTTGGAGCTCAGCAACAATAGAGTAAGGGAGGACTCCATGACCTCTGTGTTTTTTGCTTGCTCATGCCGCTTGTTTTCCCGTTAGGCCCTTTTATAAGCTTCCATGAATCTGCGAGAACGGCGCGCATATCTAAATTTTCGGGTGAAACAGAACAATCAAATAAAAAGGGGGCTTACTTCTGCATTTGCTCCACACTCACGGACTCCGGTGCATCAACGAGGTTCTTCGTTCACCAAGATTCTTCAGGTTACTCAGTGCAAACTTCGGCATTATGCAGCCTGCGGTGCAGTAATCTGAGGACGCGGACGCGGAGGTGAAGGTTTACCTTTTTCGTAGTGTTACCCCCCTAATTGTCACACAGAGATTTCATTTCCGGGCCCATAAGACTCATTTTTCTAATGGCACTCGCAATTCTCAACTTTTTAAAAAACATCCAGCCCCACACAGTTGTTTTAAATACAAATACAAAGAAGACTGCATTTTTTTTCCCCCGCCAAACAGTGACATTTACGACGGCTATTAGCTGTACACTCCCAAGTCACGCAAAAGTCGCTGTTGGTCATGTGATGTTAGTTGGTTGTGCATGAGCCCTACCTTAAGTCCAACATTCACTGCGGAAACGAGAATTTGGTCAGAGCGTAATCTGAGTGAGATACCAGGAGTAATCAGAAGCAAAACGTACCCACCTCAGAAGACCTTTCCAGATCTTCATTTGCTCGTGAAATGTATGCTGCCCCAACACAAATCAGCCTGTGGACATACGGTTTTCGACTGTCTGAATTTAGTCTGCATGTTCGAAGGTGTATTTCTATAATTCTTCGCTAAGTCCACCATTCACTCAAAGATGACGGACGAAAGCAAGAGCAACTTCACCATCAAATTAGACTTGCCCGCACAGCTCGATGCATTTAGTTTCAGCTTCACGACGAAGAAACCAGGTCCTATGGTAAGTCCATACCATGCCCTCTTCGACAGTTAATTACAGCTACCCAATATAAGTAGCTTCGGCTGGACTACTGGCACTACTACTCGGCGCGAAGTAGCTGATGTTCTTGCTGTAGGCGGACATGCTCAGCTGCTAGCTGCGAAAAATGATTTTGCAGATCATCACTACGGTATCCTGCAGGTTCCTGGAACAACAAAGGTCGACTGAAACCGCGCGTGGACACCTGTTGCTGCTGTTGTTGTCTAGGATACAAGAGCTGATTGTATTCCATTCCAGGGCCAAGAGACTGTCCACGGGATGACGGTTCACTATTCGAGAACGATGTCCGTGAATCATGGCCGAGGTAAGGTGACCTGCCCTGAGAAGACGGAGTAAAGTTCGGCACGCTAGGGGCTCGCATAGGATGGGACGGTGTTTGATGTTCGTGAGGCAGCCCAAATGGACGGGAAAACTCTGGTGAGCTCATTTGTCCAGCCCGTCCAGTGCCAACCTGGTTGTGCTGATTCTGCATGAGCCCGTTTGAAGCATCACCAGACTAATAAACAAGTAAGTTTTTCTTGATGTTCAAGATGAGTGTCTTGTTGATTTATTACCGTGCCAGTCTGTTCACGAGGCCCTCCATCTAGTTGAGGCAGAGCAGGAGTCATGGGGGTCAAGGGAGACAGGTGGGATTGATCACTGCGAAAGTTGTATGGTATGTCCCCCACCATAGTATGCTGCCGTTCTTGGCTAACATGATTTGGAACAGAGAAACCGGGAGCACCACTTGGTCGGCGCTGTGAGATCTGAGAGCCATACATCGTGGCGGTATGAGGTGGCAGGGAACAAGAGAATGCAATCACCAGGAGGCATCGAAGAGCGGGGCGAATCCCCAGGGGAAGCAAATGGTCATATGGTGGCTTTGTATTCAGAATCTAATCAGACTTAGTTATTACCATGTTCAGACACAGATCAGACGTGCGATCCTCACAAATCAAATCAAATACACTGTCGGGTTAGATCATGATTTGCATATTCTTATTCTACAACAGCTATGTTTTCTGTGTCGGTTTTGAATGTGAAACGGGTACTTCTCACTACTCTGTCCCTTCGGGATTTGCACAATCTATCGCCTCTGATTATATACCGTTCATGTGGTCTTTCACACCTTGTCCAAGTCTGATCAAATTCTCGTTTCCGCAGTGATTATTACCGTATACGTTATGAGATAATGTACTGTATCTTTGAGGTTTCGAATGCACGCAAAGTTGATATGTCACGTGTTCGAGCTCTGTTTGTGTATTTATTTGCCTTTATTTGGTCGCGGTTCATTTTGTATTTGTTTCGTCTGTCTTCTTGTTTCTGCATCCATCCACGCCACAGGGCCACAAGTACTTTCCCCCCAACCGCCTAGCATACGCCTGCCTGTAATGGCAGGCGCTTCTGGAGTATTCTGGAATTATGCTAGGTGGGGTGGCACACCCTCTGCCCTTTACAGGGCAGGGCATTCTTGGGCTGTACTGCCTGGGAGGGGTCGCTGCTGGGGTTTTAGTCTCGTGTGTGTCGCACGGCCGGCCCACCCTGGCAATCAAGCCAGCTCTTGTCCTTCCGCTCCGTTCTCTATCTGCAATCTGCGGTCCCAACCGTCTCGCATACGTCTGCCTGGCATGGCAGACGCTTCTGGAGTACTCTGGAGTTATGTTAAGCGGGGCGGCTCCCCCTCTGCCCTTTAAAGGGCAGGGCATTCCTGGGCTGTACTGCCTTGGTGGGGTAGGTGTCGGGACTTGTAGTCTGATCTTGTTCGGGTCAGCCTCTTTGCTTGTTGGTTTGTTTTTGTCCGCGTTGGTTATCGGCAGTCCCAACCGCCTAGCACACGCCTGCCTGCCATAGCAGGTGCTTCTGGAGTACTCTGGAGTTGTGTTCGGCGGGGCGGCACCCCCTCCACCCCTTAAAGGGCGGAGTATTCCCAGGCTGTACTGCCTGTGAGGGGTTGCTACTGGGACTTTGGTGCCCAAAATTTCATTTTGCTTTGTAGAGCACACCTCCCACCAAATGGATGGCAGCCTGTGATAATTTATCGTCTTTGTCTCCCTTGTCATTACTAAACTGGTTAATCATTGCTCTCTCTCATCTTCATCATAATTTCAACTCATTATTGTCTCCGTCTCCCCTCTACACTCCAGTACGCTCACGCTCGCTCAAGGCATTTGTGGACTTGAACGCATAATCATAAATGTAACTCATTTATGGACTTGCGGCTTTTCCAATGTTTAGTCATGGGCCATCTTCGAGAATGTCAGGGCAAGTGAAAGTCGAGGCTTTAATTGTGGACCTAAACGCACAATCATAAATGTAACGCGTTTGTGGACTGGTGGCTTTTCCAATGTTTAGTCATGTGACCGTTGACAGTCTACTGTATATTATGCCAGTGTTTTGCCATCTTTTGTTTTCAATTCTTTCCCCACAACTTCCATCACTATTACATTGTCGAACGCATCGCGGTTGACCTTTACTTTACCGTTCCATCATCGATCGCATCGCGGTTGACCTTTACTTACCGTTCCATCATCGATCGCATCGCGGTTGACCTTTACTTACCGTTCCATCATCGATCGCATCGCGGTTGACCTTTACTTACCGTTCCATCATCGATCGCATCGCGGTTGACCTTTACTTACCGTTGCATCGTCGAACGCATCGCGGTTGACCTTTACTTCACCGTTCCATCATCGATCGCATCGCGGTTGATCTTTACTTCACTGTTCCCATCATCGATCGCATCGCGGTTGACCTTTACTTACCGTTGCATTGTCGAACGCATCGCGGTCGACCTTTACTTTATCTTTGCATCGTCGAACGCATCGCGATTGACTTGCTTTCTCGTTACAACTTCCAACTACCTAATGCCTCCCAAGCCAGGAAGCCAAGCCAGGCAGGACACTGCCCCTCTCCCTCGCAAGAAAGTGCCTGTAATGTCGCCAAATTTCGGTACGCCAATCACTTAAATGTCCATTGTTGTCTAATCCTTCCTATGTTAGTGGTATGGGGAATTGGGCTGATGGACAAGTTTTGGCCGCACGGACAGGCACCGGCATATAAGGGGAAAAAACAACGCCCCCGTACGTTCGTAACCAGTGATCAAGGTAATTCAGCATTGGAGATCACGGGCAATCCTAGCGAAATCAGCCGCCTCAAACGCTTGGACCGTCCCACAACATTCTTCCAAGAAGACACAGGCGACATCACCCTCTACTTTGATGACGACGAGAACAGCATCGATGACGAGGATGACGACGACGAGGAAATAGAAGTCTCACCGTTAGTGTACCCTTCAAAGCATTTATGCCTCCTTCGCCAAGTGCCAGACAAGAAACTTCTACATCTCCTTGATGTCGCTCACCGATGGATCGGGCGAGGCCGAGAATTCCCCAAGCTGCCGCTGCCTCAGGATCTGGACAGCCTTTGCATGTCAGTTTTGACCTATCCAGAGGGACGGATAGCACCGCTGGTCCCTGCCTACAATATCTCCGTTGTCGATCTACTTAAATTCGACCTTCCACAAATCGCCGATTGGCCTCCCGAATGCGGGCTCTCCTATGATCCAAGCGCTCCCAATCGCAAGTTGAAACCTCGCGACCCCATTCCTCCCCACGAGTTAGTAATAGGCCTTCGTGAAAGCTTTGGACAGGAGCTGTTGAATGGGATGCGATCCATTCGTGATCCTCGTACACACACTACCCTACTACCTATGTGGGTCGTGCGATTCTGGCAGGTGATGCACGAGATCCATCGCGCGAGGTCTCAATGGGCGAAAGGAAAGGCATGGCTACAGAGCAAACAGGAAGGGGATGATGCGGAACACTACCGCACGGTAGCGAGGCAGCTGGACGTTCTCCCATGGAATGGGCCAATACATGGCCAAGCGTCTGCCATTGGGAGAACAACCTTGCCCTTAGTAAACTTTTTATCTGATAGGGCGTGGTTATCTGAAGCTCTCGTCGACATGATGGTCACTTGCCTTGCCGCTCGCTTGCCTAACAAACGGCCCGACGTAGTGATCGTGAACACCGGGTTTGCCGACGCCATCCGCAGCGCCAAAAGCATCACATATCATGACCAGCCGCGCAGCTTCCTGCGCACTCTAGAACATAGCGCGAAGACATCAAGGTATCTTTATACCCCGATCCATGTCAGCAATCACTACATCGCGTTGGAAATCGATTTCGAAAAGCAATCTTTCAGCTACGGTAAGTACCTACGTCTACACGTAAGTTACAATGCCTAAGCCAACTTGAACATAGGGGACTCCCTTGATGCGCACATCGGAATCCAGGAGATCACTAACAAGCTGCAGTGGTGGTTCACGAAACGATTCGGTGGGAGGTTTAAGAATGCTGGATATGAGTTGCCGCACGGTCACCAGAACGACTCGGCTTCGTGCGGATTGTTCGCCATCAACACCATCGAACACAACGTCTTTGGACATCAGCTCGGCATTCCTGACCCTGCCTACGAGAGAGCTAGATGGTTCTTTCTGACATCGGCGGATCAGATTGCTCAACCACCACTCCCGGTTGAGGTTAGTGACGAGGAATTGGGACCATCAGCGGGACCATCAACACGGCGGGGGCGGCCTGAAGGGAAGGAGGCGGAGCAATCTGTGATAGAGACAAAGGTTCCATACCACGAACGCCTCTGGAACTCTGAAGAAGGGCATCGTGTACGTGCTAAGGAACTGCAGGCACAGGCAGATTCATTGGAGGCATACCTCGAGGAAAAAAGGAAGGAAAAGGAGCTTGAACGAGTGAGGGAAGAGACGCAGCAAAACATCGAAATGGATGATGTTGTCGTGGACGCTGCCATGTCCGGGTCCCCTGAGTATCAGGCCATGGAGGTACCTAACGCCTCAGATCCACGTCCAACATCCCCCGCGCGCTACACATCCTCATCTTTCAGGGACTATACCTCTCGCGCACCAGCCTCTCCCCCTCATGATAGCGGGAGATTGTCGTCATACAGAGACTGGCCGTCACACAATGCGGTGCCTCCTCGTCGCGGACGATCGGCTTCTCCGGGACGATCGGCTTCTCCGGTTTCATCAGCTCGACACGGTCTGGTTAACAACGGCATACTTGAACCGGGTGAGCCGTTATAACGTCCCTCCATAACCTATCATTTCTAACGTCTATAGAAGAAAACGCATTTAACGCTTCAGGCCTTCAGAACGAAGACAGCGCACGACAAACAAGAACCTGTCAGAATGAAGGAAATGCATGCCAAGCGGCATGCCTTCACAGCATCCCCGGGCCTTCAGTCCAAGTCTCGCCTCGTAAGCCATTTCAATTGACTCGGCAGGTCATCATTTCTAACATCTATCGAAGAAGAAGCGTGCCAAGCATCATGCCCTCAGAACCGTCCCGGGCCTTCAGCCGAACCTTCGCCTCCAGAGACTTCCTCACAAGCTCCTCACGGCTCCTCACCATCGTCGCATCACGTCAATATCACCGCGGTGGCTGTCTTCGACGGCATACATCCAGACCCCGCTGACACAGACAAGACTCGCTGGCTCATCGAGCAAACCAAATGCCTTGCCGAGTTTAATTGCTCCATAGCGGTTGACTTGCACCACGTTCAGCATCCCTCGTATCCGTCTCTGCCAGTGGTCTGCCGTGGTCGATTAGCAATTTCCAAGGCAACCGAACTCAGAGTCCGTCTGTGGAGAGCCCAGTACCCGGATTTACCTCTGTGGTTTTGGGCTATTGGCTGTCTCTCCAAAGGACTCGATTGGAGAGTATACGTCAGTCCATACGACATAGCCGTTCCTCGGCCTGCTGCTCCCGTTCCTCCCCCCAGTCATCTCAATGCCACACATCCTCCCCTACTTTGGAACGCCCATTCAACTCAGGAATATGAGACTAGGGTCAGGGCAATGCTTTGTCTTCCTTTTGCTCGCCGCTTTCTTACTATGGGCGGGATTGCTTGGCGCATTGCATTGCACTACGGCCCGGAAAGCCTGTTTGCGGCCGCCCTCGCTGGGCCATCCACGGACGCGTACTTGCACGACCGTGCGAATCGCATTGGCACCGATATTGACGACAGCGTCACGGACAGTGATCTCGCCATCCTCATAGGCACCGCCATCAAAGGCACTGATGTCCGTACGTTATGGCCTCCTGTGGATGTCTTTAATAGAATGAAGAAGTGGCGAGGAGAGTGGTCTCACGAATGGGAGACGTGGTTCCAAGGTCGTCTGCGGCTCATCCAATCTGGTAACCATGAGTCCTTCCTCCTGCGCAAAAAGTGGGTTGGTTGGAATCGACACTCTGTTGAATCCCATGCAGCTGGTTCAGACGGCCACGCAGCGGATGTGTGTACAAAGGCAGATCAGCTGCACCCACCCATGGAATTGTACACCACTTTAGTCTAGCTTAGCACCTTTCATTAATGTCATTGGATCGCCGCATTCATTACATCGTTTGGACTGTGTTCATTTGCATAACCTGTTCATTACTTCGTAGTAATTCCCTTGATTAGCAAAGACCCTTCGGCATACAAAGTACTGTGCTGTATATACAACAGGACAGCATACCATATACTCCCTCCGTTGCAGATCGTTGGACTGAAGCCGTATAATGGGAAAACATGTAGGCCGATGTATAACACAGTGGCACGCTCCGCCGAGCTACAAAATTAGGGTGGCAAAGGCTAATTAATACAAGCGCATCCACGGCCATCGACGTGGACATGGTCGGCACGCGTCGACGAAGCGCAATACTTGCCGGTCTATCTATCATATCACCACGGCCAAGCCAACCCTTCCTTCTACATATCATTTAAATCCATGTCCACAGACACCATGCACCCCTTGGTGTGTAAGACCTCCAGTAAGATCCCAAGCCGTATTGAGCTCCCAGGCGATCAAATATGTATAAGGTAGAAAGTTGAGTTGAACCTGGCGTGCGAGACGGTCTCCCTGGCTTGGCCGAAGCCGGATAAGACGACGGCCGTCGATAAGGTCTGGCCAAACCTGGTATGCATATTCCATCCATCGTTTAGAGTAGTTCATTTAACGGTCATCGTGCGGCAAATTAGCTTCACCCACACAGTCGTCGTCATTCGCGAAGCAACCGTTCAGGCTATCGTCCTACTGTTAATAACATTTACAGCTACCTTGCCGCATACTCAATGACGATCGACTTCACTACCTTTCCCGCCTCCAATCAGAACCTGAAGCTTCCATTCACACCAACGTGTGCATCCTTATTGACCACCTGGGTCCTTCGCTAGGGTATAACACCTTGCGCAAAGTTCTTGCTCCTGTGTTTAGCATGGCGCTGAAGGACTCTTTCGTCCATACTTGTCTCTTGACTGGATATCACTATTGAGGGCACAGAAAGTACTACTGCTGATTAAAATGACGCCTCAGCTGTAAATCCAGTAACGTACATAAGATATGAAAACGTAAGTAGTTAGATGTGACTGTATTGCTTCGATGGTTAGAGGGAACGTAGGAAGTAACAACGATTTGCGTAATGGGAAGGAACTCATATTGCCATCCGTCAGGGTCAGGGGCCTGGGGTTAACGCGGGGATATGGTTAATAGATGCTATAGTATCATATCTACATGGTTGCCCATCATGCAAAAACAGGCCAAAAATTCTGCCACTCCACCCGCACAGGATGTAGGAGCTCTTCGTCGTGTTCATCTTGATCTTCTCCGTGTATGAACTTGATTTGGAAGCGTTGAATGGCTGCAATAAATATTCAGCGCACTCCTCAGAAACAACTCAGAAATCACTAACCACGATAGGCAGCATTGTCAAATTCTGACATGCCGTTGACCGTGAACCATGGGTGTGACTTGATGCCTTCAAATTCATATCGCAGGCAGTCGACGGGTTCGAGCAGCTATCGTGGCATGTAAGTGAGCAGGTTTGAAAAGGAACGTGATATAGAACGTTACCATCGACACTAAGCTACCCACGCATGGGTCGAGCTCCTCTAACGCCTCGGAAGTGGACGACTTGACATAGGCGTCTATCTCATCCACCGCGTTGAAGAGCCCCTGATTAAAAGCTTTAGTTGTGCTGTAATAAAGGAATATAGGACACCCGCCTTGTGCCCCGGAGAAATGAGCTCGTAAAGGACGCATCCAAAAGACCACCAGTCTACCGCGCATCCGTATTTGTCACCCTCGTTAAACATTACTTCAGGTGCCATATACGCGAGGGTTCCCATATAGGCCGACGTATACCCTTCCCCTGGTTCCAAAGGCGTCCCGTGCAGATGGGAGAGCCCGAAATCTGCGATTTTGACGTTGTAGCGGGAATCTATGAGAATGTTATCTGGCTTTATGTCGCGGTGTATAATGCCCATGCTGTGAAGAGCATTGATACCAAGGGCCTTCAAAAAACGGTTGCGTCAGGGATTGCATACTACGTAGTCAGCGACGCCCGCTCACCATCTGAGCGCTCAATCTAGGAGCGTTCTCGAAACTGAATTCAGGCTCATCAGCCATGAGCTTCCGGAGGTCAAAAACCATCAAGTCCTAATGTATGCGCAAAGTCAAGTCGCTCAAACTGTTGGGGCAGGGGGAGCACATACCATGACAAAATAGATGCTATCGTGTGTTGAAAAACACATTTCCAATTGCATGAGGAATGCCCTTCCGTCGCACTCCTTCTCCCAGGAGGCCATGTGCCGGTAGACTTCGAGCTCCGTTGCAACGACGTCTTCTGATTCCTCCTCCACCATCTTGCGCCTGTCGATATCCTTCATACACAGCAGGCGTCCAGATCCATGGTCTTGAGCTCCCCAAGCCGACGCAAAAGACCCAGCACCCAAGGAAATGCCTAGGGGACGAAAGGGACCTGTAACGCGTTCTTGGTACCCAGGAAGGTGGACGTAAGATCGAGCAAGGCGACGGTCAGCGAGCGGCATGGTGTATAGCTGTAGAAGCCGAAGGGTTGGGTGATATCGGTTGAAGGATTAAGTTCTCTTGAAGGTCAACTCGAAAAGAAAACGATAGGTTTTTATCAACTGTGGGCGTGAATTATCGAGACGCGTCCACATTGTGCCACAGCAAATGCCGTCGGTTGCGAACAATGTGGTGGGCGATATTGGCGTGCATTGGCGTTTGAGATGTCAGTTGCAAGCTCCTATTGTCGAGCAATATGACGGCCAAACCAGAGTGGAGGACAGTGAATATTCAATGTTGTACATTACAAGAACATGATTTATGCGCACAATTTGCGTCTTAGTTCATCCCCAGTAAAGACCCAACACGATGAGGACGGAGGAAATATGATAATTCTGTAATTACATAGTAGTAAACATGATGAGCTCTGAGATTTCCGATGAAGACGCGTTGCACGTATTGTTTTCGTCGTACATCGTATCGTTTTTGTCGTGCATCGCATCGTTCCTGTCGTGGTCGTGGTCGTGGTCGTGGTCGTCGTCTACCGTATCGTTCTGTGTTGTTCTCGTTGCGCATCGTGTCGTTTTCGTTGACGTTGTCCCAATGCAAGGGTAAGATCAAACATTTTACAAATTTCTTGACTAACTGTAGTGTTTTTCACAGTGACGCAGTAAACCAACTGCCAGCAAGTAGACGTCGGCTTCAAGCCCACCACACTTAGACACCGACGTTGTAATTTGCATATTTTTCATTGAAGTCCAGATATGTTTTGCTCACGTGAACAACTCCGTGTCGTCAAACACATCCCAAACACTCACCATATTCCCAACAGATATCTCTCTATGTAGTCACAAAGGAAACGATGGCGCCAAGCTTGGAGACATCATCCAAGGGTTGCTTGCCTTTGCCGCAGACTAGTCCTGTGAAAGTGCTCACAGGTACCATTCAACGATACCAGAAGGAGCGCCACTTGGTCGACCCATTTGTCGAGACACCATCAGAAAACAGTTCAGGCCCTGCGACGGGTTCATTTCGCTCACCTGGCTGGCTGACAGGTGTTGCGGAGCAGGCCATCGAGGGATTGGCATCGACGTCTGCAGCATTTCTCATTTCAAGTTCCCCAGTACAATCCACCCACAGTCTCCCCACATTCATCCCGATACCTATTACGCCAACACGCAAACGAAACCATGACCTACTAAAGACAGAACCAGAATCAGCCAAGGAGAAATTGTACCAGGATGCCCTTCGTGGCGCTTATGATCGCGAAACTCACTACAAGAGTTCACTGGCTGGCATGCAGTCTGCCGTAGTTCTGCAATCCATGTCCTGTGATCGGCTCTCTAGTCAGCTTGCAGCACAAGAGGAGAAGAAAAAGAACAGTAAAAAAGGTGGTCAACTCGTTGGGGACGGGCTTCCAAGATTGCTTACCAGTGATGAATTTCACCACCGTGTGGTTGAACATCAAAGAGCTGCCGAGGAAGAGGAAGCAGGACGCGAAGCTCGCCGAATGGAGAGAGAAGGGAGGACAGAATTATTAAAATCGTGGAAAGAAGCGGAAGCTGCGCGGCTGGTGAGAAATGAAGCGCGCAGAACAGCATACAGAGATCAAGTGAAGATGTGGGAGGCAGAAAGAGATCGAGCGAAGTTGGAAAGACAGAGACCAGCATGGAACAAGCCAAAACTTGGGAAACTGGAAGCACCGCTGCCAAGGCCGACGCTGAATGATCCAGAGGCATCTGAGGAGAGCCAACAAGACGGCAGTCATGGTGATGAGGAAGGCGCTGATGAGAATGACGGCGATGAGTCTGATGGTGGGAGTGAATAGTTGGTCATTAACGTTACCGATTGTAAAGATAACGCTAATCTCTTTGATTTACTTCTTTTGATGCTGGCTCAAGTGACCGTGGACCGGTGATAAAGACCGAAAACATTGATGCATTCACAACATATTCATACATCAATCGATGGACTCAATAGTTTATTTTATACACTTATGAACATATCTTATAAGTTTGTACCAGACGGATCCGGATGATAACTCTTTGTTGTGCAACAGGACGCCGACAAAGTTTTGCTGGCTCAAGTGCCCGTTTAAGACTGTATATGAAACCTAGCTGTCCATGGACGCGCTTGTACCTCCTCCCAGTCTCCGACCTCCATCACAGACTTTCCTCTGTTCCGATGCCATGCAATGTCTCAGTACATTCACTCTAGCCTTGCAGACTCCACCCAGCTGAACACGGGCCTCCCGTACAACATTGATGCTATCACAGCATCCCGATCATTATGCTGATAAAAGCATGTAAAACAAGAGAATAACAGTAATTTCAAGGGAGACCGTAGACCCTGATTATGAACACGAGCAAGCTTCATTGTATGGCACAAGTACAAAATTCAGATGGGGTATTCACTACTTGCAATCGAGGTATATATCATCAATTGACATCCATGTTGGCGCCATCATCAGAGTCCTCCTTGTCCATCATTTCTGTGTCATTCATGACGACAGAAGCTGTGTCAAGCTTGCGTTTCATCCGCCCTTTACCTTTCCCGCCCTTGTTCTCGCCCTTGCCCTTTGCCTGGCTAGCTTCATCATCCGTGATTGTTACGAAAAAGTTTTGCAGCTCTGCGGACGGCGGGAAATGATGCCAGAAGACTTGAGGCGCGATGATCGGATGGACCCTCTTGAAGTGCTTGTTGTCTTGGTCTGTCCTGGCCCAAGCGGATCTCCAACTGCACTTCAAGCACCGTACAGACACCTGGTTATTGCCATTAATACGTCACACTGCAACTCAAGTACATAGTACCCACCTTCGGTTTCCCATTCACGGTGCGATTAAAGACGCGCATGTCTGACGATGACGGATTACACCCAGGTGTTGCACAGGACCCCAGCTCGGCGCCAAATGCACGCAATCCAGGCATGTTCTTCGCCACCTGACGACATTCGACACGTCGGTTTCCTTCGAAGACCGTTGAGTACACGAGCACGGCAGCGGTGTAGTCCAATACACCCTGATTTGCCGCGATCAAGTCGCAAAACGATGTCCAGATGTCTGTCCGTCCGAATACACCGGTCTCGACGACGAGAGACCTTACGATGGGTGCAACCAAGGACGGCAATGTCCCTGATCCACCGAACCCGAGCACGAAATCGAACTGATCGCTGAAGCACGGTGAGCAAGCAATGGATTTGCCAGGCAAGGAAGGCACTTACTCATTCACCAACTGTACCACCGACTTGAAGTGGTGGTGAACCCTGATTGCAGGCCCGCAGCTCATCATAATGAGTCCTCTCCATCCTCCTCTGGTCTTCGCAGATAGATCGCACCACGGCTTCTTCCCACTTTTTGTGGTGATCTCGGTTTTGTGGTGTCTTGCAGCACGCGAGGCATCACCCATGCTTTGCAGTAGTTCAGCGCCTAGGTATGCGGCAGTAATTTCTGTGATTGTCGTATTGGTGCCACCGCTGTGTCCTCCAGTGTGCTGGAGCATTCCGCTGTACTCATCGGAATGGGTGTCGATGATGACGAAGGTGTTGGGTGGAAACCCAGCTTTGGTGTTACGTTGCACGAACTCGATGCTGGGAACAAGCTTCCTAGACTCGTGCCCATGTGCGTTTCTACGCATGTGCAAGCTTTCGATGGATAGCTGTGAATGAGGTTTGTTCAGCACGGTCATTCAGATGGATTGGTTCAGCCTACATTGTCCTTATGATCCCTGTAGTGATTGTCAATATCACACCTGACGGTCAATCCCAAGTAGTCGTCCTTCATGGATTCCAGGCTGAGGTTTACTACTACCATGGGCCAGGTCATCTTGACCTTCTGCCTGATCCAATAGCCCAGCACAGCGTATGGGAGCACAGCATCCTTACCATCTCCCGTCCTGCAGCAAATCGGGCACAAGAATGGCTTGCTGGCGTCCACGGTCCCGAAATAAATGCAACCGCTGCTGTGAGGCACGAACTGCTGGCACATTATTCCTCCACACTCAATGCATTCGTGGGAGCACGGAGCTTCAACGTGGTCACAACAGAAGTGACAGTAGTTACCCGTGTTTATGGCATGGGACGCGGGTGCGTTGGACGATTGGCGGATGGTGGCGGAAGGCTGGGGGATCATCGAGCCGATCTCGACCGTTCCCGGCCCTGCGCGAGAGATCCCTGCCAATTGGCCACCTGCTGTAGATTTTCTTTTAGGAGGCATGTTGTAGACGAATGAAGGACGCAAGCAGAGAAGGTCGTGTTACTGGCCATGCTAGTTTTATACCTGATCCGCAAGGCCACAATACGTGCCGGTTTGTCCGAAATATGTGGTGATTGGATGAGTAAGCACGTGTTCGGTCCGATTCCATTGTTCATCGCTATGTCATTGTGTCTCATTTTTCACACACTCGAACTAAACAGGGACGGTGTTAAAGCTGATACACATTACAAATTACACACATATATTTCACGGCTTGGCGCTATGCAGTTGCGCTATGGGCAGTTAGGTTACAGCTGTGAGCCCTTAGGTGCCAACCGGAGTTTGAAAGCTAATCTACGATGCGCCGTGGCGAACCATTGATAAAATAATTGGAGTCAAGTTCAAGTTTACCTTTCTCCCTCGCATCTCGTTACTCCGTCGTTTTTCAGAAAACGAATGGGCGGGACTCAACCGAGTGCGGTATATATGGTACGCTGGTAATGTCATTCCTGGGCCTTCCCTGCTCAATGTGTATTGCTGTCACAGGCCACACTCTAAAAGTTCAAGCTTCCTTAGTCTCTGCTTTGCACTGGACATGGAGCTTTCTATAGTTGATAGACAGATGGGTACGCTGGTTGTTGCCCATAGTGTAATGCTGGCTGTAGATTGTCCTTCATTATCTGACATCCAAGTGATGCCAGTATAGTTTCTGGTCACGGTAATCCAGTTCGCATTCGCAGGGTATAGGGGCAGAAAGACCTTAAGTAGTAGTCGCGCGAAGTCGCTGAGTCAACTACGAGTAGCAGGTGTAGACTGCCACGCTGATGCTCAGAATCCTAGGTAGTATTGTCACATCTCTCCTTTTTTAAATCTCTTTCATTTCGATCTCTTCCTCTCGATCTCTATGTAGTTTACTTAATTTATAAACTGCCATACTAAGCGTCATTTGGTAATTGTTATTGTTAGGGATGCTCAATTCTAAAATGTCGTTGTCGCCGTGCACTTGACCTTACGGTCATGCTTTCGTAAGTTACCTACATGGACCTTAAACCTTTCCTAATTTGTCCAACACCGCTCGGCTAAACCTTCGCATGGGAGAAGTTCTAAACCTTTCCTCGTCCTAATCCTCACTGCACAGTAGCTACCTAAACCTTTTTGTGTAGCAGTATCCCTAAACCCTTCAATGTAGTATCAGCGCTAAACCTTATCATGTAGCATTGCTAAACCTGCTCCTAAATCATATTCTTTTGAATATTTCAACATGTCTAGTTAGTACCGAAGATACTGTATGGAAAATCGCTTACATGACTCAAATATTACCAGAGAAAAACAGGCACTAGGTGAGAGAGAGAGAGAAATTCTATATTTATATACCGCAACAAACAAAGTGAGCTGTTAAGACGCGGTGCCCTGTTAGGGCTGTGCTGGGGAGTGTTGTAACAGGGTGAGGGATGTAGGTATAGTACGAATAGCCAAGCGGTCCGCGTTTGATGAGTTTTGGTGTGCGTGTGGGCTCGTTTGGTGTCCAGGCTTAGTATAATATGATACACTTTCTCTCCTTCCTCCTCCTTCTGATCTCTCCTCGTCTCCTCCTTCCCTCGTCACTTCCTTCTTTGCCCTTACTCAGGCTTCTGTCCCTCTCCTTTCTTCCCAGTCTCCTTCTCGTTCCAGTGCGACCTTCTTTAATGCGCTGGATTCTTGAATAAACTTCGCTAGTGCCTTTATGCCCTTCTCCGTACCCAAAATTTCGTTGAGTATGATGTTGTGTGATACCTCACGCAGATGGATGCGTTGTCGCGCAAATAGTGGGCAGTCACGTATGATATGTTCTCGTGTTTGACGTGGTTCTCCACATGGGCAGAGGGTGGGTTCGGTTGGAACGAATGCAGCGTAGTATTCTCCCATGAATCCGTGTCCTGTGCGGCATTGTATAAGACGGCCGTATACTTCTCGAGGAGTGTGAGTGAAATGTTGGCGGGGTTTGAGCGTTGGTGGGAGTCGATTTGCGAGAGCGAAGCGTCCAGTCTGTGCTGCCACGTCTCTATTCCAACTCTCTGTCCATTTCTGCAAGATCCCTTCCACAGGCACTAGGTGACAAAACTACATGAAAAGGTTTAGGAGTTATGATAAGGTTTAGCGCTGATACTACATTGAAAGGTTAGGAACACTACTACATGAAAAGGTTGAGGGATACTAGTACTGCTACATGAAAAGGTTTAGGTAGCTACTGTACAGTGAGGATTAGGACGAGGACACTCTGCGACAAGGTTTAGAACTTCTTCCATGTGAAGGTTTAACCGAGCGGTGGTGGACAAATTAGGAAAGATTTAGGGTCCGTGTAGGAAACTTACGAAAGGATGACCGTAAGGTCAAGTGCACAGCGACATTTTAGAATTGAGCATCCCTGTTATGTGCTTAATGATTGTGTGTTGTGGTGAATTTGCCTTTGTTTGGTCAAGGTTGATTTTTCGTTCATTTTTGTCATGCTCTCCTTTCTTCTTTCTACCACCATCCATGTTAGACTTTGTTCCCAACTGTCTGTGCATACGCCTGCTTGTCATAGCGGACGCTTCTGGTGTACTTCCGGAGTTATGTCAGGCGGGGAGGCGGCCCCCCCTGCCCTTTACAGGGCATGGTATTCCTAGGCTGTACTGCCCTGGGGGGGTTGCCGCCGGGGCCTGAGTTCGCAGTAGGCCATCCCTCTCCATTTTTGTTCTCTCAGTCGGCCCTAACCGTCTGTTCATACGCCTGCTTGTCATAGCGGGCGCTTCTGGTGTACTTCCGGAGTTATGTCAGGCGGGGAGGCGCCCACCCTGCCCTTTACAGGGCATGGTATTCCTAGGCTGTACTGCCCTGGGAGGTTGCCGCCGGGGCCTGAGTTCGCAGTAGGCCATCCCTCTCCATTTTTGTTCTCTCAGTCGGGCCCTAACCGTCTGTTCATACGCCTGCTTGTCATAGCGGGCGCTTCTGGTGTACTTCCGGAGTTATGTCAGGCGGGGAGGCGCCCACCCTGCCCTTTACAGGGCATGGTATTCCTAGGCTGTACTGCCCTGGGGGGGTTGCCGCCGGGGCCTGAGTTCGCAGTAGGCCATCCCTCTCCATTTTTGTTCTCTCAGTCGGCCCTAACCGTCTGTTCATACGCCTGCTTGTCATAGCGGGCGCTTCTGGTGTACTTCCGGAGTTATGTCAGGCGGGGAGGCGCCCACCCTGCCCTTTACAGGGCATGGTATTCCTAGGCTGTACTGCCCTGGGAGGGGTTGCCGCCGGGGCCTGAGTTCGCAGTAGGCCATCCCTCTCCATTTTTGTTCTCTCAGTCGGCCCTAACCGTCTGTTCATACGCCTGCTTGTCATAGCGGGCGCTTCTGGTGTACTTCCGGAGTTATGTCAGGCGGGGAGGCGCCCCCCCTGCCCTTTACAGGGCATGGTATTCCTAGGCTGTACTGCCTGGGAGGGGTTGCTGCTGGGGCTGCCTTGCTTGGCATGTTATTTTGGCATTGTAGGGCGCCAGCACAGAATGGCCATCAAATCCCTTCACTCCCTTGCAGAGCTTACGCTGGGTCTAGCCAGGCCCTACGTTGTGACTCAGGGGTCATTGGGTTCTGTCATTCTATGTTGCCCCGCATGGCGTCTATGGTGCACATCGCTTACCTGTATGTTATTTTTTTCCACTGCAACAGGGACTGATCCGCTCATTGCTAGGTCTCCTGCTTAGTAGACACCTCTGGACATTTAGGATTCATATTTGTAATTTTACCCCTTACATGCCTGGCTTAAAGATTAAGTTGGCGCAGGACTGTGCTGCCTATGTTCATGTAGTGATTGAGGTAAATCTACATACAATCCCTCCAATGCACAGATAGCCTATCATTGGTCAAGTAGGACTGGGGCGGAGTTTACTATGCTGCCGTTCACTAGTGTACCACCAGCTAACTTTGTGCAGATGACACATCGGCCTAATTTTTTTTACCCTCAATTTAGACACGAAATCTTCGGGTCTTTACGCTCTCCTACTAGGAACTTCATGTAGTATGTACATATGAGTGACAGAATGAACAAGCAACAAATGTACACATTGTCTCACAATGATTTGTCTATTTCCATGACTTCAAGCACAATAAAGCTGCTGCTGCTGCTTGTGCACGACTCGGGAGACATCCTGATGGAACGCGGTCTACCGATAAAATCTGCTAGGACAATGTCCAAGCAAATACGACTCGGATAAAACAGACTGCTGCAATAAACGAATCCTCGTACATCAGCCTGACTTCCAGCAGCAGAAATCTCTTGTTCAGGAAGCAGCTGGCCACCTTTGCATTTTATTACCGAAGTTTCATTGTAAACTTAATTTTATCCAGTTCTTTTGGGGAGTCGTGAAGAGGTATCTCCGTGAAAACTGTGATTACACATATGACACACTAAAGGAGAATATGCCGAAGGCCATGGAGTCCGTGAACCTGGAGGTCATTCGCCGTTGGGAACACCGCATGTACCGGTGGATGGAGACATGCAGATTGGGGCTTGGCACAAACGAGGCAGAAGCTCATGTAAAGGAGTTCAGTTCGACAAAATACAAGTCTCACGGGCGCATTCCGAAGGCCGTCGCTCGTGTATTTGACTAGACGCCAAATCAGTAGCGGTTTCAGATTTTATCTCGCTCAGAATTTTAGCAATGACAAATCTCTCTAGAGGCTCGATTCAGACCAGTAAATAGAGCATTTCTACAAGAGGAAAAATATTCCTCTTTTCTTTTGAATTTTATAAAAGCGTTGCACAAAGTTGGTGGTCCACTAGCCCACGGCACTATAGAAAAGCACACATCAGCCACAACCAAACAACACCAAATTTGGGATGTGTTTTAAACCCTACGACCTGCGTTGGTACCACAATCCGCATCTTTATACACCATTATGGCACGCACCAAATCCAATACAAAACGCCTCCCAAAGGGCTCTTCCGACAAGCCCCAAAAAAACATCAAGTCTAAAGGCAGCTCAACCATCAAGAAGCGTGCGTTGGCCGTCATGAGTGCCGCATCAAAGAAGTGGCCGCGGCCGCCAAAAGTACTGGCAAATGCCATCAGATCCTTTGAAATCCCGACTACCCATGCAGAATTCATCATGGAGGACGCCCTTACCAACCTTCGCATCCAATTCACCTACGGGCCCCCAGAAAATATCAATGCTATAGATCCAGATGGCGGGCAGTATGACATTTGCCGGGTACCTGTCTACAAAGGCGGGAAGTCAATAGGATACGTACCACTGCCAAGTAGGTACCAGGGAATATGGTTAGATTTATGCTACAGTGTAGTCTTGTTCACTACGGGATGGAAACATTGGGACCAGGAGACCAAGCGGGGCACTAACAAGCAGAAACAGATGGCCAAGACATGCAAACAGAACTGTGGGGCCGTGCTTGTCGCACACATGCAGGCCAGGCTCCTCGCGGTGGACCAACTGGTGGGTCTGCGTTACGATATCAAGCCCGGTGAGGAGCGGGTACCGATTCTGGACGAATGGAAGGTTAGGTCTCTTCGAGACTGGCTGAACGAGGATTTCGGAGAGGCCAACAAAGAAGGACCGCATCACTTGACTGCAGACCCGCTGTGCTCAGAAAATGAAGCATTTTTCAGTAAGTCCATCATATCGACATATATATTCTTCCATTGCTTACAGGCGAATTCTGCAGAAGAAGGCTGGGACGAGGACAATGAGGGTCTGGAGGTTATGACGCGCCCGCAGGGATGGACTCAAGGCCGTCTTGTAAACTTCGAGACGACGTTCAACAACATCCTCAAGCCACAGGCGTATGCCGAACTAAAGAATCACAGCAAATTCTTTGAGACTCGATATGTGGAAGGTGCAGAATTACCAGAACGCTGGCACGAGGGCCATGCACCAACTCCTCTCTACTGGTCAGAGAAACAGTTCGAGTGGATGGTCGCAGGTGAGACAGTTATTCTATATTACTACTTCTAAGTATTAAGCTCTTCAAATTCGCCAGGAAATGACTTTTGGGACCAGCCCTTCCACTTTGTGCATTATGCACTGTCCACTGACCAAGAAGAGTATGAGCACATGGATGAATTTGTCACGGACATCAGATGTCTCACCAATATCTTGTGTGTCAGACCTGATTGGGACTTGGCGGTGCAGAACGCAGCTGGGCTCTGGAGGGGGGAGATGACTTGGAGGGAGTTTGTGGAATCGTTCAAGAAGATCTGGTTATTTGAGGGAAGGCCGATCGGCCCTTGGCAAAGCACAGGCACGGGCATCTCCACCGTCCCCTTAAGACATATATCAACATTTGGTTTTATTCTAGTGCCCAACAATCCTTTCAACACCTTCGAAGCTGAATTACTCCTCAAGGGATACTTACGCCGGGGGTATGAGGACGCCGAAGCCAACTGGAGTGATGAAGATTCGATCGTGTGGGAGGGCTTGGGAAGAATTTCTGACATCAAAGGTCTCCGTGATGGGTGGACATGGGTTGTGAATGAGGTAAGCATGGAGGGAAAGACAGTCAAGCAGGCGTTGCAGGATGCGGGGCCAATGTGGGTCGATTACCAGGGTAAGCGGTAGCACTCTCTTGAGATTACTTCTGCCTCTCATGCGCAGTTCCCAGCGCGTTCGGCGGCGGCGCAGTCCATCAACAATAAAGGCAAGCATGTCATGGATGTTGAAAGGTCCGGTGATGGATCCACAACATCTTCCATTGAGGAAACACCATACTTTTAACCCACCGTCGATAACTAACGTGTTATACCTCCTAAGGTGGAGCTGCAACTGGTGGTGCTTTTGCTGAGGGTGCCATCAGGCCTCCTCCTGTCGTCCCACCCATTCCAGCTGAAGATGTTGCTGCCCATATGGCTATTGAAGTTGATGCCATTGACGGCCCTGCTGACTCGGGCCCTCCTGCTCCCCCAGCTGCAGCACCTATCCCTATTCCAATGGACGATGGAGGTCATTCCACCGCCTCCATCCGCGTTCCTCTGCCAGCGCCGGGTGGCTCTCACGCTTCTGCCAGTTCTTCTAGTGTCAGGTTAGGGATGGAACACCAGGCTGTCCACATTGGTTTGGCTGGGTATGTTTCGAGGGGCGAGACCTTGGAGATGTATTCGTCATCGCTGAGGAAAGCGTATGCTGCCCCAGAGTATCAGCCAGGCATTGCCGAGTATCTCCATGATCTCGGCTCCATCCCGCGAGGCGAATTCAAAGCTATTGCATTCAAGGCACGCGTGGAATCTTTCATAGCACACATTAGCACAGTTGGAGCCAGGTTGGAGGCACACAAGTCCTCGAAGTCCCTCCTGTGATGGTCACCAGTACTTACTTTTTTTTTGGCTCACATTCTAACGACGCATGGCATGTACTGTATTAATCTTGTGGTTGATTCCTGTCGCATCCCCATGTGAATGCTTCAACCCTGTATAAAAATGAAGTACAGACTTACGGTTCACTGCACTAAAGTCAATCCAACTTGTAGGAGATTTGTTGCATTCAGACAATGCACGTCATGTAGCATGGAGTGATGTAACATTGTGGAAGGCACATTTGATGGGTTAATCTGCCATGACATGTATTAATTCATCAACTAATCATGAACATGTTTGACCTGGGAGTGATGCTGCTCAGCCCCTAGATGAGCAGGAGGAGCCAATATACCTGAAAAGTCCTCATACGTTCATGTATCCTTAATCGTTCTACCTAGTCCTCAAAAACGAGAACTCGATGTTACTGGATGTTTTATTGTGGTACTGAAAAACACTACAAGACAAAGTTGGTCAATAACTGCAGCGGTGGAGCTTGCCGTTGCCCACAGCAAGCATGAAAGTTGCGGCTACGTGCAGTGAGAAAAGTCCTTCCAGCAGGTACATGATTTTGTCACATATCATATGTCAGGCCCGACATGCTTAGAAGTGGAAAAATATTCCGCTGCCTCCTGAACCCTAGCCTCCCTCCCACGGTTGGCTGCAAACCACAGTGAAGGACTCTCCCTCTTAAAATTAGCTTCTGTCTGGAACCCATAGTCAACCCATCTAATAAGTCCTCCTGCAAAGTATTGGGTGAAGGATAGGCGTTTTTCTCCAGAGGCAATGGGCACATTCCCATGGCGCAGGATGGCTGAGGGTATGAGGATTGTGGATCCAGGTGGAAACTGAACGATGAGCCCAAGGTCGAACAGAACTAAATGACCACCATTTGCAGGGTCATAGTTACCTAGGGCGGTGATGCTGCACATTCCGCTGGCAAAGTTTTGATTATCTGTGTGATCCAAAGTGACCGTGGTCGGTCCAAAGTTGAATGTTGCTGCAGAGAACACACTATTTTGAAAGTTCCATGCCAATTGTGGGTGTCGTTCCAAGAGCGATCTCCTTGTGTTAGCATAGAGCTGGTACACCTTGGGTGCATAATGACATAGTATACCTTTGGACATTAGCCAGCAGATCGCCTACTGAAGTGGACTACTTACTGTTTCCAAATCCCGCAAGCCTTTGAACGGCCTTATGGTCCAAGAGCAATTGTAGTGGCTCTTGATTCTGTTCGGCATGCACAAGGTTGGATGGAATCTAAATTTGTTAGCTAGTGACTCATCAATCAGGGGGCATGTGCGGAGATTCACCTCTTGACCACCTCCAAATGACACCCCAACAGCGAGGCATGGATAGGCACCTCGTCTGTGCTCCATATTCTCCCTCCTGAAGGCACAGCAATCCCTTGCATGCTCCATGGCAGTGCAGACTGCAGCCACGGTATCATGCCAGCCATCATCCTTGGGATGGCCAGCTAGCACACCGATAGTCCGTCTGTCTTTATCCAACAAAACGTGGGGGGTGCTGTGTTATCGATCTGTGAGGGCTCTTTGAATAGGCCAAATGAAAATATAACGTACTATCCATCCCACTCTACCACTTTGAATCCCTGTTGCACCAGATCATCGAGCTTCCGGATGCCCTCACCTGGAGGCTGTGGTTTCCCGATGTATGCGCCTTGAGCGATAGGCAGGTGTTTCACTAACGCTTTACTGGTAATCGACTTTGTATGGGGTTTGTTGGCTAGTTTAGCTATCGCCTTATATGTTGTTATACTCTGGGCGCGCTGCAGGCGGCGGCGATCTCGTTTCCCATTCCGTTTATGGGTCCCATTGTTACGCGAAGCGGAGTCCACCTGCATCTCCATCTCATTGTCTTCGTGGCAGACACCCATAACCCCAGCGACAGAGCCAGTCAAAATGCAGGATTTGACATTTGGGACACTACGTTCGTGTGGCGCAACTGCAGGTTCTTCATTGAATGCGATACCATCCTCATTATCCAATGCCCTCTGAATTAAGGGGAATATGCCCTCCTTCGTACACAGTTGGATGACTGAGTCATCCATGAACTCCTGGGTGCAAGACAGCCCTGGCTTTGTGGTCAGCAATTACGTCCATGGTGTGAGAGACAAACCTCGTTGACGAAGGCCGCTGCTGATTCAAGCTCGGTGTCTGCCATAGCTGTTGCAATGTGATGGGGTCCACACAGGTACAATGTTACTCGAACGCACACCGCCGCCATTTTAAATGTAAGTGAGCCCATCAAGCACGCGATCATTGATGGAGAGTAATACAAAGGCAATGAATGTGTCATAAAACCACACGTGGGCAACAGTTGTTCACGCATCATGGACACAAGAGATCGTGGATCCACTGGCATGCAACGTGTCAAGACACTGCACATGTACCATGCGTGTTCATCTGCAATACTGCTAAAAGAAGCAGTGATCCGAAATCATATACCTACATACGCTGTGTTATGAAACACGTTGCATTACATTTCGCCGCACCAGTGCCTATAAATATGGTTATGACTTGCTTTAGCAGTAAAATTGATGTCTGAGGGCACGTGTTCATCTATAGAACCGGGATCGGACGTTGTGCATAGTGTAAAGGAACACGTTGTATCACATTTCGCCGCACTGGTGTGAAATTGCACCACTTCAAAGTACGAGCAATCACCGTTCAAACTGCCTACACCAGCCATTTGATGACCCCCGTCACCTCATGAGAGCCGAACAATATATTTCAAAGTTTGTTAATCGTCAAACACGGTATATAAGGTGGTTCACGCTCTACAGCGCGGAATATGCGTCCCAAGAACCTACTCATCCCAGTTTCGCCTGAGAGGTCAGCAAAGAGACCTGTTTCGAGGGCCGGGAGTCCGCATGACAGCTACATCCTGACTGTGTCTGGGTGGGCGACGTGTGGATACGTGTTGTCCACGACGACTGGGACTCTGTGTAGCAGTAGCACCTAAAGTAGATACTTTCTGTTTCTATTAATTAGTTTTGTCCGACACGGGATAAGCTAAATAAACTCCCGGGTCCGACCGCACCTCCCTCCTTGACAGGTACATGAGGAATTTACAGAATTGCTGCCCAATACATTTTAGCATCAAATCCCAAGCTCATCCAGACCACAGTGCATGCCCCTTTGGAAGCCAGGTCTATAACTCCGCATACTATGACATCAAGAAAAGTTTCACCTTCAAAAAGTACACCTACTGCGCCCTTCCTCAGAAGTACAATCACAACAACAAACCTGTTGTGTACGAATGAATACAATTGTAGATAACCAAAGGTCCTTCATCCATAAATCCGTGCTCCGTCCATGTTGCACGTTTTATGCTGCGCTACAATCGGCTATCATAACCAGTACGATGATATTTTCATGTTTTGTCCAGGTGATTTTTTTTTCACCCACACCGTCCATACTTCACTCTGAACTTCCATCCTCTAATATCACTGATAATGTGTGCTATACCATCAATCATTACAGCGCTATTATCTGCGGATGGCAAAGAGAAATGACGGTCGTAACAATTTTTGGTATGTCCGTTCCATCTGACCACGAACCAAGTATAAGCATGTAATGTACACAATCATAGCAAGGCCTTCCGCCTCTCATTGGCCTCCAACCTGGCTCCTATGGCGTTGATCTGCGAGACCAACGATTGGACGTGCGGTCGGAAGTGCCTGGCTGTGTAGCCTTCTAAAGAGACGGCGCCAAGCTCCTTGAGGTACACGTCAATGGCGGTGCCATACTCGGGGGCAGAGAAGGCGTTTTTGAGAGTTGATGCATACCCCTCCAAGGAATCCGTTTGCCTAACATATGCAGCCAAACCCCTATAGACAGGCAGCAACTTTTCATCTACTATGGCCTCATTGGCAGTACCATGTCTAGCTGGAACATGGGGAGGGGCAGAGGGGGGGGGAGGAACAGGAGCAGGAGCAGGAGCAGGAGCAGGAGCAGGAGCAGGAGGAGCAGGAGGAGCAGGAGGAGCAGGAGGAGCAGGAGGAGATGAATCTACGGAGTGCATAGGGGCAACAGCAAGCTCAGCAGGAGGATCCCCAACATGATCACCGCTGTGCTGAGACGTCTGGTCTGCAGGCCCATGACTTTCTCCTTGCTGGACAGTCCGCTGTTGACCAGATGAACCGTTGTTCGAGTGACCTTGCCGGGTAGAACATGTTAGTTATATCAAGGGTTGCGTCTGACTGGAATGCCTCCTCACCGACATCCATGGGCTGCTCGCCTTGGTTCTCCTGACCCTCGCGGACCTCCGACGCACGTTTCGCTGGGGACAGGACATCAGAGTCAGAAACAATTTAATGATCATCATAACACCGACCTTGGTTACGCCTGAAATTATGCCACCAAGGCCCTGCGTCCTTCAACACACCCTTGACAGTCGTCCCAACTAAAACAACCTGGCTCACTACCCAATGCCAGCCCGCAGCGTAGTCTCCAATGTGGCCATTTCTACGCAGGCCTTCCCACAGGATCTGGTCTTGAAGATTCCAATCTTCGTCATCTGGCATCTCGTACCCCCGCTGCAAGTATCCATCAAGCAGCAACTGAGATTCGAATGTATCGAAAGGGTTTTTTTCATCTGTAACGGAACCAAACGTCAACATGAGATATATCTTGAATGACGAGAAAACCGGACCCTTTGTCCGCCAAGGGCCAATGATCCTCCCCTTCAATCCCCAAAGCCTCTTGAACTCGTCCACAAATTCCCTCCAGGACATCTCTCCCATCCAGAGCCCTAACGCGGCCCTCTTCACTTCACCCCACTGTGGTTCCCGGCAAAGAATGATGCTGATAGAGTTCACGTCTGCCAAGAAGTCCTCGAATTCTGTGTACTGTTCGTCCGAGGACAAGACATGATGAACAAGGCTGAGGGGTTTCTGCTGGATGTCGTTTCCTGCCACAAGTGCTTGTGTCAGTAAGGAGAAGAAACATGGGAATGATAAAATCACCGTCGGCCATCCACTTCCACTGCTTCGCAGACCAGAAAAGTGGAGAAGGTTGATGCCCCTCATGCCAGCGATGTGGTAACTCTGCCCCCTCCTCATGCCATGTGTCAAAAAATTCGCTGGGCTTCTTCAATTCTGCGTAGGCCTGCGGCTTGATGATTGTGTCAAACGTCTTTTGAAACCCTTCGGGAAGGCCTTTGATCCACTCGTTCGTGTTCTCAGGGGGCGTCAGCAAATATAGGCCCCGTTTGTCTACCACCCAGCCCCGTTCTGCATTTGCCGTGAGCGATGTAAGAATCTGAGGACATGCGATAGACTTACGAAAAAAATCTTTGTTTTCGTCGCTGAGGGGATCCGCATCCAAGAATTCTCGTCCTTCGTTCCTGGCGAATGCATAATCCTTGTTCAACCAGTCGCGGAGGTTCCGAACCTTCCATTCATCGAGAACTGCGACACGCTCCGCTCCGGGCTGTACGTCGTGGCGCATTGCCACCAAGTGATCCACCGCAAGCAGCCTGGCTTGCATGTGGGTGACGAGTACCGTCCCACAGTTCTTTCTGCAAATGATCGCCATGTCTTTCTCCTTCTGCATGCCCCTTTGAGTCTCCCGGTTCCAAAGTGCCCAAACTTTGGCATACAACACAATGTGGTAGCATAAATCTAGCCAAAGGCCTCTGTACGGCAAGGGGAGCGGGACAAACCCTATCGGTTTCCCGCCCTTGAATACCGGCACCCTGCAAGTGGCGTACGCATGCTGGTGGTCTGGATAGAGGACCTGTGCCTCCTCCGGTGCGCCGTAGGTGATATAGGACCTAGGGTTAGTTGAATAGTCGTCCAAGATCATTTCGGCACGGTTAGTAGGGATTACAAATGACCCGATGGGTTGTGCGAGGGGTCTCGGTGGCAGGGGTACCATCTTTGATTTGCGAGTCATGACAACCCTAGCCTGCTTCTTGATGGTGGAAGTACCCATGGACGTCGCGGTTGTGCCCTTGTGGGGAGGTTTCTTATGGATGCGTGCAGCTTTCTCTTTCTTTTTAGTGCGTGCCATGCCTGTTTGACCAAAAGACCAGATGGGTCAAGGGCACAACTGTTTGATTGTGATCAATCATATTGTGTTTGGCTTTGTTTGGTTGTCATCAATATCAAATTTTGCTTAGTGTTGCTTACATTCGTGCAAACAGGCATTGATATCATACTCGGCACAAACGCTCCAGTGTCTAATAAATTCGGGACCCTCGGTAGTATTTCCATAGGTAGTGGCAAGAATCTCTAAAAAGACATTACGAATTTTGGATTTATATATCACACGTCATCTGTGGATGAGGTACGGTATTGCACAAAATCCGAAGTAGTACGGCTCTGTATATTGTCATTTGTTGCATGTAGGATGCTCTGTCCAAGGGAAACAAATCGAATACACGGGTGTTTCGACTGAGTGTCTGCGCTGTGTCGATTCAACGCGTACATGTCCCATAGTAATGCCAAGGGCTATCCGCGTCACTTGTTAGCCACTGGAGAAACAATTAAAGATCAAACTCAGAGCAGCCCACCCCACAGGTATGGCAAGGCAAAATCATCTGTTCAATACGGGTCCTTGCTATGACCTCTTATGGACAGGTATATATGAGCCAGATTCGCGCTATCGCATGCTTCCTATGCTGGTAATTCACTACGTCCATCGCACACATATATCATTCATCGACCTTCATGGCAAAGAGATCATCCGAGTCGTCGGCGTCCACCATGTCTGAGTCTTGGATCATTTCAGAGGTGCCTCCACTGCGATTCTTCCTCCCCTTCCGTTTGCTACCCTTACTGTTGGCTTTCGTCGCAGAAGCTTGAGATTCGCCGTTCGTCCTTTTAGTGAAGTCCACGAAAAAGTTTTGCAGGTCTATAGAAGGCGGAAAATGATGCCAGAAAACTTGCGGCGCCGTTTTCCGGTTTACCCTCTTGAAATGCTTGTTGTCTTCGTCCGTCTTCACCCATGCGGATTTCCAACCACATTTCAAGCACTGCAGGCGCACCTGGCCAATGCAGTTAAAATATGCAACCCCCTTCAAGCATGGAATACTCACCTTTGAATTATTAGGTCTCAATTTGAGACGATTAAAGACACGCATGTCTGATGGCAACGGATTACACCCCGGTGTCCCGCAAGAGTTGAAATCTCCGCCGAAGGCACGCAGACCGGGGAGGTTCTTCGCGATCTGACGACATTCGACTTGTCGTATTCCATTGACGACCTCAGCGTACACCAGCACAACAGTTGTGTGATCCAAGACACTCTGAGCCGAGGAGATCGTGTCACAAAACGATGACCAGACGTTTGTGCAGCCGAACACACCAGCATCGACGACGAATGACCGTACGATGGATGCTACTAAGGGCGGTAAAAGTCCCTGATCCACCAAACCCAACCACGAAATCCAACCGGTCTCTGCAGAATGGTGAGCATGCGGTTGATATGCGAAATGATGACACATACTTTTGAACCATCTCTACGACAGAATCAAAGTGGTGGTGAACCCTGACAGCAGGGCCACAGCTCACAAGCATGAGGCCTCTCCATCCTCCTCTGACCTTGGGGGTGAGATCGCTCCAGGGCATCTTCCCTCTCTTGGTGGTTATCGTGGTCTTGTCGCTCCTGGCAGCATGCGAGGCATTTGTCATGCCTTTCATGAAATCCTGCCAGTGTACGCGGCAACGATTTCCGTGATCGTTGTGCTGCTGCCGCCGCCATGCCCGCCAGTGTGCTGGAGCATTCCGCTGTACTCGTCGGAATGA